GCCACTATAAATGACGAATACGAGACGGTTTTCTAAATGTTTGGACTTTGATTTTGTCTACATACCATTGTGTTTACTCGCGGAGGTTATCTCATCAATTAAATTCATTAATGCAGGGGCCAATCATTCTTTATTTATGTACAAGTAATAACAATTAGCGCATTATGTACGCCTTTTAGATAAAATAATTTTGCAGAGTTAAGTCCTCTGCAGTTCTTCCCATAGTTTTCCCCTTCCCCCCTACCAAAGGTTAGCTAGTAAAAAATATTTCCTGTACAATAAATAATTTCCTATCTATATAATATATAATATTCCTATCTAAGTATATAAGATATAAAATAAAAAAATATGATTTTTAAACTTAAACGTCAATTAAATGTGACGAAGTTACTAATGCTATATCAAAATTAGTGCATTGGTTTAATCTACATTTAAACGGCAATAAAACGAAACCTATTCTCTAACTACATATATTCTTTTTCCAAAATTAGTCATTTGTTTATTGATTAGCGTTATGTTTTCATCGCATTTGAATTTGCCCGCTTCCGTTCTGAATATTTCGACCTGAAAAATGAACCCCGTGGTCGACCGAAAACTTGGGTCCACAATGACGAATTAAAGGTGATTGTGGAAGCTGATGATACTCAATCTACGGCTGAATGAGCAGCAGCTTTCGACGTTAGCATCAAAATAATATTGGTCCATTTGCGTCAAATGTGCAAGCTAGAAAACTTGACAAATGGGTACCCCACGAACTCAATGATCGCCAGCGCGAAGTACGCGTCGAGATGTGCCTTGCACTGCTCAATATAAGCATACTAACGAAGGAATTTTGAATCGCATTGTTACCTGCGACGAAAAATTACAAGCAAGTTGGTTGGATCCTGTTTGAGCACCTAAACAACACCCTAAACGAAAACTTACTCCTAGAAAAGTGATGATCACTGTTTGGTGGTCTAGTGCCAGTGTGATTCATCACAGCTTCTTACCAAACGGCATTACTGCAGATGTGTACCGTGAAGAACTGAACACAATGATGGAGAAGCTCGCACGTCTCCAACCAGCTTTGGTCAATCGCTCGTCCCCGCTGCTCTCACACGACAACGCTCGTCCTGGACCATACTGAACAACAGAAGGTCTCCAAGTTACAAGAGCTGGACTTGGAAGCTCTCCGACATCCGCCGTGCTCACCAGACTTTGCGCCTACAGACTTCTACTTTTTCCAGAATTCGGATAACTTTTTAGACGGAAGAAATTGAATACCCGAGATGCTGTACAAAATGCCTTTAAAGAATTTGTTGCCTCCCGTCCAGCTGATTTCTTCAAAAAGGGGCATCAATAAACTGCCACTACGTTGGGAGCACTAAGGTCTAGTTGTCGAGTCTTGTTGACGAGTATGTTTACCTGGGACAAATAGTCCGACTAGGCAAGTCCAACTTCGACCGAGAGGTCAATCGACGGATTCAACTCGGCTGGGCAGCGTTCGGGAAACTACGACACATCTTCTCGTTAGACATACCTCGAAACCTTAAAACGAAATTGTACAACCAGTGCGTGTTGCCAGTGATGACATACGGATTTGAGACATAGTCCTTCACTGCTGGCCGCATGAGGAAGCTCAAGGTCGCTCAGGAGGGGGCTATGCTCGGGGTTTCTCTGCGAGGTAAACTTAGAAATGAGGATATCCGCAGTAGAACCAGAGTAACCGACATAGCCCAACGGATTAGTAAGCTGAAGTGGCAGTGGGCCGGCCATATAGCTCGAAGAACCGACAACCGTTGGGGAAGAAAGCTTTTCGAGTGGCAGCCTCGTACCGGTAGGCGAAGTGTAGGGCGACCCCCCACGAGATGGAGTGACGACCTGGTAAGACATGCAGGAAGTCGATGGATGGCTCAGGACCGTGCTTTGTGGCATTCCTTGGGGGAGGCCATGTTCAGCAGTGGACTTATGAAAGGTTGTAATGATGAATGATGATGAAGTTGGCAAAGATGCATCGGTTGCATAGGTGATTACTTTGATTGCTTCGATTATGGATGATAATAACCCCTGGGAATGAGGTGATCGCTACCAAGCTATTTCTAATTTGTTTTGTATTGTTAATTGAAGGCTCCGTGGCGCAGTGGCTTAGCAATCAGTTGTTGCGCTGGGGGCCGCGGGTTCGAATTCCGCACGGAACAAGTATTTGTATGGCCTACAAATAATTGTTCCGGGTCTGGATGTTTGTCCTTGTGCAATTTATGTTTGTAAACTGCCTCCACGACACAGGAGAAAATCCTGGTGTGGGGGTAACGTTTTTTTTAAAGAAAAAAAAAAAATGTGTAACATAAAGGGTCTTTTATTAAGCACTTCCAATATTTAAATTTAAATAAAGCAAAGTATGTGTGTGTGTGTGATATCATCTTAAATTTTTTATTCGTTTGAAAGACCTATCGATGCACTTGATTTTAAGCTGTCATTTATTTAAAGCTGGGTTTCTTGCTGGTTCGTCCCAGGACAGAGGTTTTTTTCCAAACCAATGGTAATTAAACATAAGAGTGACTTTCAATAAGTATTATTTATAATCTACGTTGAAGAAAAAAAATTGTTTTTGTTTCTGATTAATAGAAATAAAAAATTTAGAAAAAAAATACGTTAACTTATTTCATAAAAAACGGCAATTTCATAGGCAAAGACCTAATATTAAATTAACAATACTGAATGTTAAAAATCTGAATACCAGTGTGTTTTTAAATGGGGAAGAACTGAGCCCTGTTGAATCCACTGTTTATCTAGGCATCACTCCCGACGCAAGACTTCAGTGGAGCCCCTAAATATCCAAACTAGCAAGCACACTAAGTTCTGCAGCTGATGCTGTAAGAAAGATTAGAGGTCTCATTAGTGTCGAGACAGCTAGATTAGTTTATTTCAGTTATTTACATATCATAATGTCTTATGGGATTTTGCTATGGGGGAATATGGCTGATTTAGAAATAGAAATAGAAATAGAAAATGTATTTATTTAACCAAAAAACATTACATAATTAAGCAATACACTGGTTTCTGCACTAAGCTCTAGGCTTGTATCGCAGGAACCAAGAACCTTGACTGACACTGTTTACACCGATGAATACATAGAACTCCAATTAAATTAAAATAAAGAGAAAAGAAAACATTTTTTTTTATAAATTAATGCATGAAAGAAAGAAAAAAAAACAGCTAATTTACTCTAGCAGTGCTTGCGTGCGTGCGTACGTGTGCGCGTGCGTGTACGTGTGTTTGTGTGTGTGTCTGTGTGTTTGTGTGTATGGAGGGGGGGGTTGCGTACTTGCGCGTGTGTGTGAGTGAGTGTAAGTCTACGCGTGTGCATGTATAGGGTCAACTATGAAAGGAAAGTAAGTTTTCCGTTTCCTGATAAGAACCATGTAGCAACCAGGTTGTTATTTTGTGTTTGACTTTACTTGTGGACAAAGACCTTAAATCTGGGAAGAGATAGCAGAATTTGTTGTAAATGCTAGGCAGAAGAAATGGTGAGTGATTTAGAAACTATTTTTGTATTGCAAAAAGGGCCATCAGAGCTATTTAAATAAAAACGTAAAACCGAGTCTCTTAGAGAAATTTTAATAAATTAATATATTAACTTCGGCCTCTTAGTATAGTTACGAAAATTTAATTTTTTTTTATAGGATAGGGTGACAAACGAGCACAAAGTCCACTTGATGGTAAGTGGTTGCTGTGACCCATAGACATCTACATAGGCACCCGTGAGGACTAAGATGGAATGCCTCTTTTCCAGTAAAATGGGTCTCCGGTTCCCTACACTCACCATACGAAACACAGCAGCGTTAAGCTGCTATTTTACGCTGGTTTTCTGTGAGAGCGTGGTCCTTCCCCGGTCGAGCCGACCCATTCGTGCTACAACTATACTACTAATATAGCTGCAGCATGGCTCTACCACGTGTAAAATTAAGATAATAAGTAATTAAGATAGTGTCGGTACACCCGGAGGTGCACTTATTATTTTGCTTTTATTTTATTATTTTTTACTGTGTATCTTAAATTTAATGATATTCTATTCAGCGCCTTCTTAATATCGACTAAAAATAAAAAATGCTTGCCAAGCGTGGCAACTATGGCAAATATCCCTCTATAGGCAATCTATAGGGGAAGCCTATGTTCAGCAGTGGACTTTGATAGGCTGTTACGGTAACGGACCTCCCACAATGGAGTGAAGAGCCCCATTTACGCTGCATCTTGCGTTCAATCCACCTGCTAACCTTTTTATTCTTACTTCACATAATGTTTTTCTCTTTCTCTTTCAAAACCATCACTTTCATCTTCCCTGTGTTCACTTTCAATCCCGTCTTTTTATGATATATGTGATTTTATCGGCGGACAAAGAAGCTACATAATTCAGTCTATCAGCTTTATGAATGGCAAACCAGTCTATGTAAGCCCCTTAACCTGATACAATCACGAGTGTCACATAAAAGAGATTTTAATACCTGTATCAGCCCCTGGACCCAAACGAGACCAGCCTTTGCCATAAAGCAATGCCAGCCCACTCTGTCATAGGTCTTTTTCAAGTCTAAGAACGCACAGAAAATCTTCTGATTTAGGCCAAATCCATGCCTACGTCATAAAAAGCAGCTAGTGTCCAGTTTTTAGATTTCTACGTCTAGTAGTTTGGACTGTACGTTGATAGATGAGTCAATTAGTCAATTACTCAGGACATCCTCTTTTATATAAATAGATGGTTTTGATAACGGAAAATATATAATATTATGTTTCTTGTGCGTATATCTAAGAACACTGTTGATTCCAACATTTTGCTCTGATAATTTTTTTTAATAATTTAAACAGTGTTATAATATTTGTTATGACTATTTTATTTTTAGTGTTGTTCACTACATCTAATATTTCGCTTTGTATAATATGAGTATAATAGAAATTATATGAGTGGATTAAAAAAATAACAGAAAAAATATTTATTACAATCAAAGTGTATTTTTTCTTTACAATGTTTAATCCTTAGCGTCGGAAACACCTCCGTTAGTTATAGCAAACGTAGCTTCGCTTTCAGGGAGATCAGGTGAATCGTAAATTTTGGCTATTCTATTCTCGCCCCTTCCCTTTCTAAGTGCAATTCTGGTGGTCGAGGCGTGCGCTAGAATATTACCCCCAATCGGCTTTTTTGGGTCAGCTTGAAATGTAAGCGTGGCGCCGGGATCAGCAGTCATTTGATTTGTTATAAACACAGCTACGTTGTACTCTTCTGATATCTATGTACAAAAGAATTTAATCGTGAATGCGAATGTATTAATTAGTAGTATTTGTGTATATCTTATAACAAAATCTAAATCTAAATAAAGATTTATTGGAACATGACAATTCAATTACAGTACAACCCCGATAACATTAGCATATTAATTATTAGGCTGTGTAATTACTCTAAGCCCGATAAGGTAAAGACCAAGAGAAACGTTAAATAATTTGACTTATTGAGGTTTTTACTTACTATCGGTTTAAGTTAACGAGTTTTTATTGGTTTATGTTTGTACTTAGAGGTTCGTTTTTTTTTATAGGATAGGGTGACAAACGAGCACACAGTCCACCTGATGGAAAGTGGTTACTGTGGCCCATAGACATCTACATCTATCCTCAATAAAGACTCAAAATGCAGATGCGTTGTCACCCGTGAGAACTAAGATGGAATGCCTCTTTTCCAGTAAAAAGTGTCTACGTTCACCATTCGAAACACAGCAGTGTAAAGCTGCTATTTTACGCTGGTATTCTGTGAGAGCGTGGTCCTTCCCCGGTCGAGTTGACCCATGCGTGTGACAACTATACTCTACCACGTATAAAAGTTTATGAGCTTTGTTTAGGAATTATATATATAGATAGACGTGCTAGGTTAAATGCACGGAGCAAATACTAAGAGGAGGTGTTGTAATTAGATTTCACTATCTAACAACGCGTTACAATTTGCGGGGTTAGGGGATGTTAAGCCCCGCCCACTTTACTATTTACCATCTACCGATAATTAGTAAAACTACTCGCATCGTTCCATATCGATGTTGCAATGTAGTTTAGCTACCTTGACGATAGATGGCGGCCTGTTCACAAAATGATTATAAAAACTATAAAAATAATATTTTGGCGTATTATTAAATTAAATATTACAAATTCTTTACGACTGAATGCAAAACAAATTTCAACAATATATATTTATTTTATCTATACTGAGCTTTACGTACCTTTATATTTTTAGTTACCATGACACAAAGTATCGCTATCTAGTGTCGAATATATTTAATTACATTTGACACAAAATTTTATGAATTTATAGAAGTTATTACGTTGTCGAGGTTTAAGTTATCAAGGTTCTTCTGTATATACAATCTTTAACAATGTGTCTAATAAGTAACGGTTTGAGTAACAGTGGCGGTAGTCGAGGAAAAAGTTTCTTCGTATTTTGTTTGTATAGAATTGAAGAAAAATCTCTTTGGTTGTATTTATAAATTAGAAGTTAAGTTTAAAATTTGGTTACTCTTTGAAAAATAACCCTATATATAAAAATTACATGTGACATTATTTTTCCGCGATGAATTCTAAACTACTGAAGTAATTTCAATTAAATTTTGCACACTGTGTGCAGTTTGGTCCAACTTGATTGATAGGATAGTTTTTATGTCGATAAGTGACCCTAAAATTGTTTTATTACGAATATAAGGATTTTCATACGAAGAGTCGTCGGAAAACGCAGAACAACGTGTACCTGGCCAGTTAGTATATTATAATTTATAAAGATTAGTCATCATCAGAATTTTTTTTATCATAGGCAAGCAATGGGAACGAAACCTTTTTGCACATGACTAACTAGAGCAATATACAATGTACTAACTACACCATTATACAATATTAATTAATTGTAATAATAAAAAAAACTAAAATTATCATAAGATCCTATTCCTCACTATGTAGTGCCAAGAACACTGGCTGCGTTTACGCTAAATGGTAGTACTTATTCTTTGCGATGTAAGAACAATCCTTTTTGTTATCAGCGCCAACGACCAGGCCCAATCGAATATATAGGCAATGATATTAGATATATATAAAAAAAGAGGTAATTAATACAATCAGGCGTTACTTTGCGGAAATCCATTATATTAAAGTTGGTAAAAAATTACCTCGCTTACATCCGCTCGATAAAATAAAATGATGTGTCTTACCTAGTTTGAAGAGCACCTCCCGCCCTCCCTCAATTGCGTGCACTATCCCCGTCACCACTAATCCCAGCACCACTATTCCCAACAACACTACACTAGGAAAGGCGATACTTTGTGTCGAGGAAACTAAAAATATAAAGGTACGTAGAGCTTAGTAAAATAATCATACGAAGGTGTTGAAATTCGGGATATAGTTCCGTTCTAGGGACACCTCAGATTTGGACCAATATTTTGGTCCAAATAGGTGTCCCTATAACGGAACTCTACCCGAAATTTGTTTTGCATTCAGTCGTAATGAATTTTTAATCGCCAAAATATTATTTTTATAGTTTTTATAAAAATAATATTTTGTGAACAGGCCGCCATCTATCGTCAAGGTAGCTAAACTACATTGCAACATCGATATGGAACGATGCGAGTAGTTTTACTATTTATCGATAGATGGAAAGTCGCAAGGTTGGTGGGGTTAACATCCCCTCACCCACAAATTGTCACGCGTTGTTACATAGTGAAATCTAATTACAACACCTCCTCTTTGCATTTGCTCCGTGGCTACGACGCGTTCTGGGAGTTCATAATTATTGTTGATTTTGTTTCTTAATATTTTTGTATAAAATATTTACATGTTATTGAGACATGAGTAACCATTTTTTCGCCAAAATTTTCATTTGTCGGTCTGTCCCAGCTAATATCTTCGGAATGGCTGAACCGATTTTAAAAAATGTCACGAACAAATAGAGAGTAGTACTAGGAGTGATCTACACTAAATTTTATCCGAAAATGTTGGAGACTTTATTAAAATAGAAATAAGATAAACAAATGATATTTAAGGCTTATGTTAAATACCACCATATTAATATATCTCACCCAGGCGAAACCAGAGCGAGTTGCTAGTTATAAATGTTATTTTAAAATTAAAGTACCTACTTGCGTATATAATTATTTTCATATATTTTCCCATTAATATAAATTTACCAATTAATCGAATAATATATAGTTATAACGATATACCGTTATTAGCTGATTTTCGCTACTGGTATTGTGAATTTTGAACGTACGGGTTCGAGGAGCCGCTATTTCTAATCCCATTCTTTGTCCGTAGGGACTGTATTGTTTGTAGCACGAATGGATCGGCCCGACCGGGGAAGGACCACGCACTCACAGAATACCAGCGTAAAATAGTAACAATGTTGCTGTGTTACGTATGATGAGTGTAGAGAACCGGAGAACTTTTTTACTGGAAATGAGCTATTCCAACTCAGTCCTCAGAGGTGACGACCATTCTGCGTTTTGATTCTTAATTGAGCATAAACGTAGATTCCTATGGCCCGCTTACCAGGTGGACTGTGTACTCGTTTGTTACCTACTCTTATTCAATAAAAAGTAGCATGTGTTACAAAATTTTCTTCATAGACATTAGTTAGTATACTATATATTATATTTATAATATACTATATATTTAACAAAATTTAAAATATTTAGTATATTAATATATACTAAATATTTTAAATTTTGATCCCTTAAAGATTTTTTGCAATGTTACTCCTACAAGTGAGTAAAAAGCATAATTAAGATATCATGTTTAATATTTTTTAAACGAAATACATTGTTTAATTTTTGTTTATCTTATCTACAAATGCCCTAAATAGGCACGACACGACAGTCGAGTATCCATCCATACTCCCGGATGTCTATTATCTCTTCACCTTGTGATCTTCCATGTAGCGGGTATTATGTTGGGTCAGAGTTTATTGACTAATCGAAATAGGTGTCTTAATTAAGTAATATACCTAGTCAGGTCATAAGTACTGTCACACAGTAAAAACTTTTCTTTTAGAATGCTGGCCACAAAAAAGTTTATTGAATTCGAATTTCGAATTGTTCATGAAAATAAAACTGTATACTTTTTAGAATTTTACTCATTTTTAAATATGGAGTGGACGCTTAAAGAAGACCGTGTTGCAGTTATTGCGTTGCATCGTTGCGGTTACGCGCCAATTCAAATTTTTGACATAATGAAAAATTTCAATATAACCAAAAGATTCGTTTATCGTACCATCAAACGATACAATGAACACTAGTGTAGATGACAGGTCAAGAAGTGGTCGCCCTCGGTCTGTTAGGACTCCAGCAGTGATAAAAGCTGTGAAGGCCCGAATTCAAAGAAATCTCAAACGTAACCAGAAACTGTTGGGACCCCTTCAGATGGGATTAATCAGAACCATGGTGAAAAGGGTGTTAAATGAAGACTAAGGGCTTCGGGCATATCGAAGAAAAACAGGACATCGTTTGAATGCTCGTCTAATGGACGTGAGACTGAAGAGATGCCGCGCTTTGTTGAAGCAGTACGCGGGAAAAAAATATCGGGAAATTCTTTTTTCGGATGAAAAAATTTTTACCGTAGAAGAGAGCTACAACAAACAAAATGATAAGGTGTACGCACACAGTAGTGAAGAAGCGAGCAACCATATTCCGCGTGTCTTACGGGTCATTTTCCATCCTCGCTCATGGTATGGTTGGGAGTTTCTTATTGGGGCTTAACAGAGATACATTTTTGTGAGAAAGGTGTAAAAACGAATGCAGTTGTGTATCAAAATACAGTCCTGACGAACCTTGTGGAACCTGTTTCTCATACCATGTTCAATAACAGGCACTGGGTATTCCAACAACATTCGGCGCCAGCTCATAGAGCGAAGAGCACACAAGACTGGCTGGCGGCGCATGAAATCGACTTCATCCGGCACGAAGACTGGCCCTCCTCCAGTCCAGATTTGAATCCGTTAGATTACAAGATATGGCAACACTTGGAGGAAAAGGCGTGCTCAAAGCCTCATCCCAATTTGGAGTCACTCAAGACATCCTTGATTAAGGCAGCCGCCGATATTGACATGGACCTCGTTCGTGCTGTGATAGACGACTGGCCGCGCAGATTGAAGGCCTGTATTCAAAATCACGGAGGTCATTTTGAATAAACTTTAGTGTCATAAGAATCTATGTATCATTTTGGTATATAAATGGTTACATAATGAATAAACTTGTTTCAATTATTTTATATTAAACATGTGACAGAATTTATGACCTGACTAGGTAGGTTTACGCCATTGATGCCTTTGTAATTATGATTTTCTTGGATATACCGTTTAAATATTTATTAATTGAACACATTAAAGTTGTACGCAATAAGATCAATAAATACTTATATTAGGATTAATAAAAAAATTAATTAGTACAAAAATATATCGCTATAGAATATATTAATGGAATTCTACATATATATTAATCAACAACAGACTTATTCGCCGTTTCGCTTAGCGTAGGTACACACACATCACATATTAAATTATAGAACACGCAATACCACACCTTTTGCAGTCGCGATAGCACTTGTGCTAATTTCTGTTGTCTGTCTGCGAGCTCGCCGCGTCCTGAGAAGTCGACCCGAAACAATGCCATGATGGAGTCGATAATTAAAAGCTTGAATACGCCTGCCTCCTCATGGAATTTCGCCGCCACGTAGTCAAGCAATTCGGCCTATATATTTATAAATTACCTAATAATTTTTATTCTACAAACACAGAAAACACAATATAGTCTGTTCACCTAAAATCGTGTCGGTACACCCGGAGGCGCACTTATTTTTTTGCTTTTATTTTATTATTTTTACTGTTTGTTAAATAAATGTTTTTCTATTCTAAGAATAAAATAGAATACTATTTTACTCTTATGGCTATTGTAATAAAATACGTATATAAATAATAAACACAATTTAGATAGCAAAGAACCTATCACTCGTTCGTTTTAAAATGCCAAATTATCCTGCGGGTGTACGCCGCACGCGCCGACCTTTGATGTTGCGGCGTCACGTTGGACAAGATGCGGTATGTGCCGAGGCGGCGCGATACAAAGGCGACTATATCTAAAAGGCTTATTACATTACACGATTTCTCAGGCCCTGCCCGCAGGGACAGGGTAGTGTAATAAGAAACAGGGAGTCAGGGTCCCTAGACAGGGAGACCGAGTGGTTCCGACCGCCCTGCTTCCCTGCCGCGCTGTGGATTGTGTAGTGTAATAAGAGACAGGGAGGCAGGGAGCTCAGTTGCGTGTTTGTTTATTTAAAGTTCTACTATGTCGATCTACTCTCTAAATCATTACTCGTATTTATGTCATGCGCTACAGAAAAAGATCCTTCTCAATGTCATCGACATCTACAAAGAAATGCCTTATCAAATCTTGATAGGAGTTTCCAGTGGCCAAAATCGTAAAGTGACAACCAATCTCTCTTAAAAAAGTATTCTTTTGAATAAAACTTCTTTTACGGATTCTATCGCGTTTAATTTTTTTTTATTAATTCCCTGCGTTTCGGGTGCTTTACCACCCATGGTCATGGGGGACTGGTTGCTGTAGAGCATCCGAAACGTCGGGAATTAATAAAAAAAAATTCAACGCGATAGAATCCATACAAGTAGTTTTATTCAATGTGTAGTGTTCGCGTAAATATAAGAAATCATTAAAGTATTTTTTTTCTATTAAAGGCGTTACTAAGCTTAATAACTCGTCGAATTGGTTTTCACCTACTCTTTAAAATAGTTTCGTAGGTCTGTTGGGTCCAAAACGCTGACTATTTGCATATTCGATAGTTTTTCTCTGAGGAGCAAATATTTTTTCATCCACATTTAACTTTCCTTCCTTTTTTAGCTTGGCCTTGCACGTTACCGCCAGCCAAAGTTTTTTTTTATAGGATAGGGTGACAAACGAGCACACAGTCCACCCGATGGTAAGTGGTTGCTGTGGCCCATAGACACCTACATTTATCCTCGTATGCGAATCAAAATGCAGATACGTTGTCACCCGTGAGGACTAAGATGGAATGCCTCCTTTCCAGTAAAAAGGGTCTCCGGTTCTCTACACTCACCATACGAAACACAGCAGTGTTAAGCTGCTATTTTACGCTGGTATTCTGTGAGAGCGTGGTCCTTCCCCGGTCCACTATACTACTAATATAGTTATAACATAGCTCTACCACGTAAAAAAAACAATAAAGCAATTTTTTGACGTTTAAATAAAGTCTGCGCCATAATGTTAGACGTGCAATCATTTCCACGTTCGAGTAACAACTGAGGCAGGAAGCGATTTCTAGCGTAGTGTAATAAGCAGCGCCCTGTCTGGTAGGCACACGATGGACAGGGCCCGATAAATCGTGTAATGTAATAAGCCTTTAAGCGAAAAGACTATACACATTTACGTCTAAAGCCGCGTCTCCACCAAAGTTTTGTTGCCAACACGTGTTGCCAACAAAAGTTTCTGTTAACAAGCATCTCCACCGAGGGAACAAATGTTGGCAACAAGCGTATTCCTTTAATGTTGCAGCCAAAAATGGAAACAAGTTCTTGGCAACTGTTGTGTTGATAACAAAACTTTGGTGGAGACGCGGCTTTACGTTTCACATTTACGTATTTACGCAAGCGGCATTCAGACAACATAATTACCTGATGTTCAGACGTGTATGCTCTAGCATAAAGCACATTGTCCAACACGCCATTTTGATCCAAATTAAATCTGTCAGCGATAGGTCTTAATCTGTCTGGACGACTAGTAATTTTTAAGGCAATAATACATAATTTTAAAATTGATTATAAGGACAACTACAAATATCTGTTTTATTTTCATTTGGTAACATTGAATATTTTGAACACAATACAAAGCATTTAAATTTAGTTGCGGTATTGACCTCGACTCATACTCGAGATTTCAATGTTAGCGCAGACTTAATTATATTTCCATTACAAAAGTAAAATATACTCAGCCGGCAAAGTGAAGGATTGATCATTGCTTTAGGATGCTCAAAATTTTATTTTTAAAGACTAATTTTTAAAAGAAAAAAAAAGAGATAAAGACCACTGGCTGAGTCCCAAGCGACGTATAATTATTCCAAGTTTAAAAAAAACATTAGGTGACTTGAGAACTTCCATAGAGTGGTAAAGTAATAGCCACTGTGGGTAAGAATTTTAATTTTTGGAAAAAGGCACTGGAGTAGAGATATCCAAAAATATTAACTTGAATCAGAAACTGACCTTCAGTATGGCTTCTTTCAGTATATAAGCGATGGGGTTAATAGAGACTAATATATTATGTATATTCTTTCCCCCACGAACGGGTTCTCATCTTGTCATTGCGGGGACCTGTACGGACGTGGAGGACGGGTTATGTCGGGGGTCAGACATAACCCGTCCTTTCCCTTGCAGGGCGGGTATGCATAGGCATTTCCCCATGTGAAAAAGGCTAAAATATATTATTTACTTACCTTAAGCCCCTATTACTATAATCGTCTATAACTACATAAATATGAAAAGGATACAACGTGTGTTCCGTATCGAGAAACATAACTTTCCCGCCATGATAGCCGCTCGAATTCGGAATTTGTGTAGTAACGCATAGAGTATGCGAAAGTTGCGTTTTGCCGGTACGAAACTCGCCGAAGACTTCAGTTATAGCCATTGACTCTATACCACCAGCAAGAAGCTTACTGGAAAAACAAGATTTACGGACTACAACTTAATTTAACGCAAAGACACGTACTGCTTATCTGATCTGTAAGTTGATTCTGTAAGATTGAGACCAGAATGCCTTGTTACCAGTGAGAAGGGTCTCAACTTCACGTCGCTAACCAGAACAAATGCAGTCCTACCCCAATTAAAGCTCATTCGTACTGAAGAAATATTCATATTGAAATTATTGACGTGAAACGTCAGAAACGGGTAGGTACATCAGCAAAGTGGACCGTAACGAAAAGTTCTATATCGTCTTACCGTAATGATTACAAAATGATTAGTCTTAGAAACATGAATCTAGTTTTTTTTGCGCCTAATGCAAGGCTACCCTGCGGAGTCAGGGGGGGGGGGAGGTGGCGAATGCTCATAGCATACCACGCAGCCGGCTGCGTGGTTATGTGGGACTCACTAAGAAGTTCCTACCCACTAAACACCACCTGTGGGACTGGCTCTGGCCTTAGTGGCCCCTTCGCCGCATCGAAAACAACCACTCTTAGGGAAGGGGGGCGTGGGGCACACACCATCGGGGACGGGAGCGCGAGTCAACTAACACAGCCGCACGGGGGCGGCGGTGCCAGAGGAGTGAGGGTGTGGGAGTCACATGAGCGAGAATACACTCACCATACGGGGACGGCGAGCACGGTCTGCTAACACAACCGCACGGGGGCGGCGGCGCTAGCGGAGGCGGGAAGTGGGACGGAAGGCACTCACCGTATGGGGACGGTAAGCGCGGGCGGCTAACGCAACCGCACGTGGGCGGCGGCGCTAGTGGAGGCAGGACGGCACTCACCGCACGGGAACGGTGAGCGCGGGCACCTAACACAACCGCACGGGGGCGGTGGCGCTAGCGGAGACAGGACGGCACTCACCGCACGGGAACGGTGAGCGCGGGCACCTAACACAACCGCACGGGGGCGGCGGTGCTAGCAGAGACGGGAGGGCGCACTCACCGTATAGGACGATGAGCGCCGACAGCTAACACCACTGCTGCGATGGGAGGGCACTCACTGTACGGGGACGGTGAGCATGGACAGCTAAGCACAACCACATGGGGGTGGCGGCATTAACTGAAGCGGGGGGGCACTCACCGTATGGGGACGGTAAGCGCGGGCGGCTAACGCAACCGCACGGGGGCGGCGGCGCTAGCGGAGGCAGGACGGCCCTCACCGCACGGGAACGGTGAGCGCGGGCACCTAACACAACCGCACGGGGGCGGCGGCGCTAGCGGAGGCGGATAGGCACTCACCGCACGGGGACGGTGAGCGCAGGCACCTAACACAACCGCACGGTGGTGGTGGCGCTAGCGAAAACGGGAGGGCGAACTAACTGTACTGGGACGGTGAGCGCGGACAGCTAACACTATCGCATGGGGCGGCGGCGCTAGCGGAGGCGGGACGGCACTCACCGCACGGGGACGGTGAGTGCGGGCACCTAACACAACCGCACGCAGGCGGCGGTGCTAGCAGAGACGGGAGGGCGCACTCACCGTATAGGACGATGAGCGCCGACAGCTAACACCACTGCTGCGATGGGAGGGCACTCACTGTACGGGGACGGTGAGCATGGACAGCTAAGCACAACCACATGGGGGCGGCGGCATTAACTAAAGCGGGGGGGCACTCACCGGTTGGGGACGGTGAGCGTGGGCAGCCAACACAACCCCACGGGGGCGGCGGCGCTAGCGCAGCGGGACGGGATGGGACTGACGTTCTATTCCTCGACTGAACCGACCGAGGAATTCCCGTACGGGGACAGGTGCTCGGTCGGCTAGCGGACCCCGCCAGTGCACGACCGCACGGGGGCGACGGCGCAAGCGGAATCTTGATGAATCTAGTGTAATTATTTAGCTTATATAGTCAGCTCACTGTTATGATCTATAGTTTGCGTCGGGGTGGGGACGGGGCGCCAGTGATACGACTTAGTGACCTTCAAGAAACGAGCTACTCCTTATTAAAAGACCGGCAACGTACCAATTCCGCTGTTGCAGTATCGTATTAAAATATTTAAAACGAAGGTAATCTTATTTTCATTTCCATCTTTCACACTAAAAGCGACTTGCTGATAGACGTTTCATGTTAAAACCAACGGCCGTGTGCCACACAGCCCCCACACAGCCCCGCCAGATATTGTTCTTATAACAGGCTTCATCACTATGTTCTAATTTACCGCTTAGTATGTGGTCATCATCGCTTCAAATTGCCGATAGTAATTTCAGTGGCATCCGCATAGTAACACATTCAGATGACCAGCACACTGTGAAGTTTCACACGAACGCTCTACCTCTACGAAATATGAACTATTTTTTTTAAATAGTTAATTTTGCGCTTTGACAGCACATTGTATCTGATCTCTGTCAATTTCGACCAAGAAGACAGCTAGTGACTTCTCGTTGTTTACCAACTACCAAGGAGATATTCGTACTGCGTTAGTGAGTTAGTGCGTAAAAGAGCGTTAGTGACGAACTTATAAGCGGCATTCCGCCAACAACTTGTATCTTTTTTATTTCTGCTCCAGCTGGAATCGATCGCATCAGCACTATGCTGCTGATGCCTGGTACTATGACCACTAAACCACGCGATCCTTGTTAATGAAGGATATATTTATTATTACCAATAATTGAGTATTTTTGTAAATACTCTTTGGTTGCAGTCTTAAGTATTTTTTAAACATTACTCCCTCTTTTTTATTTTATTTTTTAAATATTACTTTCTCTATCGAGGGAAACTAAATTAAAACTAATAAACAAGTGATTTTTTTATTTGTACAAAAAAATATACAACGTTTTTTTTTCATATTCCTACATTGTCATCCGATTGCGCACTATGTTCAAAATTTCAATTCTTTAGCTCATCAGGAAGTGCTCGAAATTAGAGTTACAAGATTCCACCCGGAACGACAGACAGACTAACAAGAAAGTGACTTAATAAAAACGTGGTAAAAAGTTTGCATTTATAAAGGGTAAATTTAGATGGAACTGGAAGCACAGAAATTTTTCGTACATCATAAAATATAGCAAGTTACAAATCTTCTTCTTAACCTATTTTAATCTAAAGCTGGACATAGGCCTTTTTAAGAATGCACCAGCTGGGGTGCATTTATTAAACGAGTGAGCCTCACTCCACACGCGGACTGGTGTTTTTTTAGTGTTTTTTAGTACACCTTATTTACCAGTCTCCAGGGTTTTCGTAAGCATTTCTGGATAAATTTTCTGCCATCCGTCAGTGGTCAGCTAGAGCAGTGTCTGATAGTCAACAGGAGGCACAGCGTGGAGATGAGGCTTACATTTGGTCGAGCTTACAATGACTTTGGACTGCTACTATGAATTTCTTGACAGAAAAGCTCAATATTTTTAAAGGCCAACTCGGGATTTAAACTTGGGATCTCACACAGCTCACTTAACTGTAAGGCCCATAGACATCTACATTTATCCTCGATTAAGAATCAAAATGCGGATGCGTTGTTATCAGTAAAAAGGGTCTCCGGTTCTCTGCACTCACCATACGAAACATAACAGCAGTGAACTGCCACGTGATCAGTGGTCGCGCTTATGACCCAAACAATAGAGACGTATCGCTGGGCACTATAGTATGAAATTAGCTACGTTAAAGAGCACGCACATATAGAACTATATTTCCTGCGCGTTTGATAACTTCAGACATGGTTATTGTCGCCGTCATCGTCGATCGTAATCAGATCATCATCATCATAATCAATGTGGTCTCAACGAAAAAAATCCACAGTTAAACATAACCCTATTTGAAAAGGAATCAAATATGAGCAAGAACTTTGCTTTAACTTACTCTAAATCGCTACTCCCTGTACTTATTTTAAATACATGTTTCCGACGATCACTAACTTCCAAAGCAGTCATAAATCCAAGTGCAACAACCTTTTGACATGCTTCTTTAATTTTTTCAACTTTTGTCTCCGAAAATCCTTTTATATTGCATAATCTCTTTTTTGTTGACATTTGAATTCCTTTGATAGTACAAATACCAGCACTTTTTAATTTTTTTATATCAGCTACATTTATGCCGTGTTTTTGTAAAATATCTACATCTTGAAAAAAGTTTTCTTCCTCATCGTTTTCAGAAATGTTATCATCGAGCGCTTGATCAATCATAATCAACTTTTAATTTATTAGCAGTGTAATTCAAAATACAAAGTTTGGCGCGTAATTATTGTTGTTGTCACGATTTGCCAATTAAGCTAGGCAAAGGTCGTAGGCCATACTGCCTAGTCAGAAGTATTTCTAAAACTACACAATTTGCTAAAGCGTCACATTGCGTATTTTAGAGAATTTTTTATGACAGCTTAATCCAGCGGACAGTTGATAGCTGATTAATAGTATCTTAAAGCACCTAAGCGGATTAAAAACATTGTTCCCACTAATAGTTTACAGATATTTCATACACGATATCCACAAACTATTTTTAATACCTTTATTCATATAAAATACACGCATTTACAATAATAATAAACATCGGCAAACTGTGCAACAGTTTGATGGCGATAATAAGAAGTGCACGATATCGCACCACTTTCATGCATCACAATCCACTACGAGCTATTACTTTAATCCGGCGGTGGTCTAGTTCCCATAATGTATTATTAGTTTATTAGTGATGCATTATATTATACACAAAATTATACGATAAAGATTTAGACGACTAGGATGGAAAAATGTAAAACAAAATAACATTTAAAACAATTTTTTAGGTTCGTCTCATTGATATGAACAAAAACAAGCTACTAAAACGTTAAATTAGTTATGGGAAACTGAACTAAGAATTGAGAATTAAATTAGTCTTTTAAATTTATATATTAATACATGAAGAGAAAACTTTGTACACATTTTAAGCATATTGCCCACTTAAAAGATTATAAACATGGAGAAGGAGTGCAGTGCAGAAAGCTGAAATATATAAATAATATGTTTAACAAATACATTAAATAGAATAAAATAAAACATTCATTGTACATGTTCATACTACCAATTTCAATCGTTAAACATAGTCTATGACAAACACTGACCTCTATATATCGACTGCCTATACACCGTGACATAATTTATCAGCCAATGATTTGGCTACCTTGACACTTGCTTCTTTTGATCAACAAAATAATTTTACATTTGATTTGGAACCAGTCCCAAGTAATTTAAATTAGATAATAAGGCAATAGAGGTAATCTCTAGCTAAGATAATTTAAATAGCTTAGAATACAACTTCCAATACATAATTATGCAATTTTACAAAATAGCAATAATGTAAACTATATCAACCTGGTGTATCAAAATATACAAGGTATGTTAGGCAAAGAATTAGAAATTGAATTATTTTTTAAATAGTAACAATATACATATTTTATGTATTACTGAACATTGGTTGAAAGATTACAACAGCATATTTAATTTCAGTAATCACCAGGTGGTCAGTTCGTTCAATATAGATACTAAATTACGTGGTGGCTCCTTAATATTAGCTAATAAATCTTTATCATGTAAAGAACGTAAAGACATTGTGAGCCTCTCTGTTGAGCGTACTGTAGAAATGGCATGCGTTTATTTTGAGCACCCCATGTTCAAATTATGATATCACTGAAAAAATTATGTAAGAAGTTTTAGTTAAGCTTAATAAACAAAATAAATCTCTTGTAGTGTGTGGAGAATTTAATATCAATCTCCTGGAAACTTTTTCCTTCAGTATTATATTTTGCTCTTTGTTCAAATCCTATAATCTTGATAATTTATTCTTTGAAGCTACACGTATTGCAGGGTGTAGTGCAACTTGTATTGATAATATTTTTACAGGTGTTGTACCAATCAACAAATCAATAATTCATAAACTTAGTTCAGATCACTGTGGACAACTTGTTTCATTACCTTATATGCACAAAAAACAGGTGACAATTGTGTTTGTTCCTATTAATGCAAAACGCCTGGAGAGATTTAGAAGTAATATAGTAAAAAACCTTCCATCGCTTTCTTATAAGAACAATGCAAACTATTTATATGGAGAATTATTTAACCTTATAAACAATGAATTTAAAAAAAAATTACTTCTAAAACATTCGCCAGAAACAGTCGCAAGGCATTTAATGAGCGGGCGACAGTAGAAATTCATAAAAACAGACGAAGGTTACATGACCTTTACCATGAAAGATCATATAATCTTTCCGATGCTTTTAAAGAATATGTCAAAAATTATCCTAAAATGTTTAAAAGAGTTTGCTCCACCGCCAAATCGTTACATATTAGCAACAAAATTAAGACGGCTAAGAATAAAAATGACGTGGAGTATAATTAACAGCGAAACCGGTAAAGACAAACCTCGTAACTGAAATTATCAATTTAAAGTTAACAATGAATTGACAAAATCAAATCAAGAAGTCGCAGCGGTATTTGAGAAATATTACACTGATATTCCTATCTTAACAACAGAGTCATTGAATAATTCCCCAACTGTCGCCGAGTCATTACTCAAACAGAATGTTAATACCTATTTAAAAGAATTTAGATTTGAAAAACTATTACCGCAAGATATTGTAAAATACTTCAAAAACATTGAAGTAAAGAAAACCGCAGATTTGTGGGGGATATCCGTTACAGTTATTGCGTCCATTATAGAAGATATAGATTTAATTGCACCTCATCTTGCTATTATTTTTAATACTTGTATCGATTCTGGTGTGTTTCCTGATTTAATGAAATATAGTAAAGTAATACCTTTATTTAAATCTGGTAGTACATTGGACCCCGCTAACTTTAGACCTATTTCTGTACTACCAACTCTCAGTAAAAATTTTGAAAAAATAATTTTGGTCAATTGTTAATTTTTTTTTTAATACAAATAAATTACTTCATAAAAACCAATTTGGTTTTACAAGGGGGGGGTTGAGCTTATGAAATATATTTTTAATGCCTGGGAGAATTCACAGGATGCCTTAGGTATTTTCTGTGATCTTTCCAAGGCTTTCGATTGTGTTCATCATGAAACATTTATCAGGAAACTACAACATTATGGTGTAAAAAATTTGGCGCTTAGACTTATTACTTCATATTTAAGTATCAGAACTCAAAAAGTCTTGATTAATGGTAAAGGTTCCTCCAGATCGGTAGTATCAGTGGGCATTCCTCGGGGCTCGATTCTTGGCCCATTCCTGTTTCTAACCTATATTAATGATTTACCTTATCTTGTAGGGGACAATCACGATATAGTATTATTTGCTGACGATACTTCTTTAATTTTCAAACTCAAACAGCAGTTAATTAATTATGACGATGTAAATAATGCTATATTGAAATTAGTACATTGGTTTAACGCCATCAATATGCTCTTAAACGGCAATAAGACGAAGTGTATTAAATTTACAATACCTAATGTAAAACATTCGAATACCAATGTGCTGTTAAATGGGGAGGAGTTGAGTCTTGTGGATACCAATGTTTTTCTCGGTATTACTATTGACGCGAAACTTCAATGTGGCCCCCATATATCTAAAATAGCAAGCAGACTTAGTTCTGCAGCATATGCTGTAAGAAAGATTAGAAGTCTCACAGATGTTGAGACAGCTAGATTAGTGTATTTTAGATACTTTCATAGCGTAATGTCTTATGGAATTTTGCTATGGGGTAATGCGACTGATATTGAAGCTATATTTGTTTTACAAAAGAGAGGCGTTTGGGCGATTCATAACCTAAATTGTAAAGAGTCCCTCAGACAAAAATTTGTAGAAATAAACATATTAACTTTGGTATCGCAATATATTTATGAAAATGTAATGTATGTACATAAAAACATAAAGCTTTAATAAGAATAAGGATGTGCATACTTTAAATACTAGGAACAAACATAAGCTTGTAATGAAAGTTACTAGACTCCACAGAATCAGTAATTCATTTATGGGGCAATGTATACGCCTTTACAACAAAATCCTAGAACATATTCAAAGTTTGTCAATAAACAAGTTTAAAAGTTTTATTAAAGAAAAACTGTACAAAAAGGATTATTATAATATCAAGGAATACATGAATGAAAATAGCCCCTGGGAATAAGGTGATCGCCACCATGCTGGTTCAATGAAAAATCATTTAAATATTGTATAAACGAAATTATTGTTAAGTGAAATATGTTCGAAAAAAAGGTCCCGCTGGGTTTCTTGCTAGTTTTTCCCAGGACAGAGGTATTTTCCGAACCAGTGGTAAATAAAAAATGACTTTCAATAAGTATTATGTAATAATCAACATTGAATAAAAAATTATTCTATTCTATAATAAGGCGAATTGATTTTTTGCCATTTTGGGCCTAACAGCAGAAGTGAACATCCAAGGAACAAACAAAACATATCGATAAAAATTCTATACCTAGACCTAAACGTAACGTCCATTCTATTTATTAATCATATTAATATAATGCCATACAATAAATAAATGTATCAATTAATACCTAGGCCTTAGACGCAAGCTTTATTTTTTTTATAGGAGAGGGGGCAAACGAGCGTTCGGCTCTGGTGATGGTAAGTGACTACCGCCGCCCATCAACAACTGCAACACCAGGGGGATCGCAGATGCGTTGCCGGGCTTTTAAAAAGGAGTAGGCTCTTTTCTTGAAGGTCCCTAAGTCGTATCGGTTCGGAAAAATCGCTGGTGGTAAACGATTCCACAAGCAAGTTGTGCGAGGGAGATAACTACTTCTAAATCGCATAGTGGTGGACTGCCAATCATCCAGATGGTATGGATGGTATCGCGACTTTCGTCGCGATGTGCGATGGTGAAATTGGGCGGCTGGGATTGAGAAATTGAGCTGCCAATGGGGAGTTCCTGCCCAGAGATGGAAACAGTATTCCATGTGAGGCTGAACCTGCGCCTTGTAAAGTTGCAAGCGATGTGCCGGCATGAAATACTGTCCCACTCTGCTGAGCACGCCAAGCTTTTTAGAGGCCAATTTGGGCTTCTCTTCCAAGTGACCACGAAACTGCACGTCACTCGATATGTCGACACCGAGGATTCCGATACTGGCTGATGCAACAAGGGGAGTGCCTTGAAACTGAGGAGATACGACAAAAGGGTTCTTTTTAGCGGTAAACGTGCAAGCTAAATCTAGTCCAGTTCAATCCCCAGAAGACACATCTGGGGATTGAACTGGACTAGATTTAGTCGCCCCGTCTGAGAATTTGTTCAACATAGTCTCGACTTCAGACAAAAGTTTGTGACGTTTTCCGGAGAAATATTGACACGGCTGGTGTATAAAACATTACCAGTGCTGTCGTCCGCATAGCAATGAATGTTACTGGTTTGAAACATATCATTGATACGCTGTTTCTTCTGCATATCATTGATATGCAGAAGAAATAGCGTTGGTGATAGCACGCAGCCTTGTGGAACACCAGCGTTAATGGGCTTGTAATTGGAGCATGCACCGTCTACTACGACCTTGCTGCTCCGATCTGCAAGAAAACTGGTGATCCAATTGCACAATTTCTCGGGAAGCCCATAGGAAGGCAGCTTCGAAAGAAGTGCTTTGTGCCAAACCCGATCGAAGGCCTTCGCTATGTCCAAATTAACGGCCAACGCCTCCCCCTTGGACTCCACTGTCTCCGTCCATCTATGAGTTAGGTAACCTAAAACATCACCAGCTGAGCACCTCGATGGAAACCGTACTGGTGGTCACTAATCAGCTGGTGATCCTCAAGGTACCGCATGAGCTGGCTGTTAATAATGGTTTTCATTACTTTGGAGAACAAAGAGGTGATAGCGATAGGCCTGTAGTTGGACGGATCTGAGCGTTCACCTTTTTTAGGGATCGGGTGTACCAAAGCTGTCTTCCATGAGTTCGCGACTACGCCTAGGAAGTAGGAGTACCGGAAAAGACGCGTTAAAACTGGTGCCAACTCAGGAGCACACGTCATCAGCACAATAGGTGGGACTCCATAAGGCCCATTCGACTTGTTGACGTCCAGGGAGAGGAGTGCTTTATGCGCGCTTTGTGAACAGCACTTCCTGCAATGAGCACTCACACTGTGGGATGGTCGGCGGTGTGTTCCCCCTGTCATCTAGAGTCGAGTTGGAAGCAAAAAGAGAGCCTAGCAGATCGGCTTACTCTTTTGCGTCATGGGCCAGTGAGTCGTCCACCCTGGCTTTACCCACTTTTTACCTCGTCTTGTCCTCGTTTTTATTCGTAACTACGGACAGGATTTTGTTTCGGATTTCAAATAAGGAAATGCCTACGCATAACCTCTTCGCGGGTACAAGAACAGATTATGTCGGACTCGCACCTACTAAAACCCCATGGTGTTCCACCTTCGACGCACATTGGCAGGGCCACGGAAACGCACACTGCCCTTCGCGGCCTTCAACTCCCCCAGCACCTTGTGGTGTAGCCCCTACTAACACATATCCAAGGACTCTACACTCAGAGTGGCCACTTTGGGTCAGCCCTTCACTTCGCGTCAGACATATGAGTCGCCCTACGTTTAGCATGGGTTACTAAGCCATGGCTACTAACCTCCCTCCGTGTCACTACAAGGCGGGAACCCGTTTAGCGAGGAACTTAATTCTCACCTTAACTCACGCAAGCTCACTAAGGACATTAATAGTTTTGCATTCCCATTATAAATTTATTCCCTTGATATAATAAATTGGTCGTATTTAAACAGATTTTAATGTTAAAATAGTACATATAAAATTTGTTAAAATCTGTTTAAATATGACTTGTAAATACAAAGTCATCATCAAGCGACCTTTCTACACTTGGCTATGGCCCTAGAGTCTGAGGGAAAATACGGAAAGAAGAAATAAATAACATTCGAAATAATAATCTAATATTTTCTGGTAGTACCAGTACCAGTAAGTATTACTGGTACTGGTACTATCAGAAAATATTGTGGGTATACTGCACTTTTTCAAAGTGGTGCGTTCCTCATGTCTAATAAAACAGTCGTCTGTGAAGTGTTTAGAACAAAGATAATCATTTTGTTTCGGACGCCAATTCACAATTTTTATGCTTTTAGCCATAATTTTAGTCAAGGTTCAGTTAGAAATCTGTTAATTAATAAGCATTTGATAATTATCTGTTGTCGGCGAATTTGGTTGTAAACAGATATGGGTACAAAAGAACATCGATAAGTATTATAGACAAGGAGCTCGATTTAAGCGCGTAGCTTTAGCTTGCTTATAAATATTCTCAGGTAAAAACACATTCATGTCTTTAAAAAATATTGTTCAATTCAAATAATTCTCTATTATTTCAATTATTACAATAATAAGTATGAAGCCTTGGTTTTTAAAAGAACAGAATTGAGCAGAATTGACGATCGTGTGAATCAGATAGAAATTAGAATTCGTGTAAATTAGAATTCGGATTTTAAATATTTGGAAGAAAAACGGGCAAAGAAAATAAGAGATTGAAATAGGAACTTGTGATAAGAATCCACCTGATAATGGTACGATGTACTAAAAAATAATGGCCTTATTATTTATCAGCATAAAACTGAGGTGTATTTATAAAAATATAGTCTCACTCTGTTTTTCAGCATTATCTATATGTGCAATCTATCTCTTATACCATTTTCTATTTTATTTTTAAGTGTTTCAAAAACTATTATATACATACATAATATGTATATATATTGTTCAAAATATTGTGACGAATTTTGGGGGACAAAAAACTTCGGACCAGGCTGTGTGGACGTAGATCCTTTTGCCTATAAACAAATAAATAAAACCAGAACCCAATGGCTTATATCTAATTTTTATTATAGAATAGAATTTATAATATTGTCTATGCTTACAAAACTGCTCTGATGAAAAAGCTTTGATGCGGCGGAAACTGAAGACTTTTTAACTATATTTTATAATTGCATCAAGAATATTATCGTCTTATTCAACTAAGTTAAGGTAAGGGAGTAAGGTAACCTTACGGAAGTTATGAAAAGTGATTATTTATTATGTTCATATATATTTCCTCCTGTATCACAGCCATGTTGAAGTAGTGTTGATTTTAATAAGTTTTCGTCAGTTTATCGTTTACTAGAAAGTTAAAGTTCACAAGTACATGTGACAGACCTAAGTTTCGTTTGTGTTGTGATTGCAAAGTTAAAAGTCTTTACGAAATGAAAAGTGTTATAAAGTGCCACCGATTCTGGCGTCGAGGCGTCTTCTTCAAGGTAAGGCTGGATGTGTCTTCAATATACATCAGAACGTTGTAGTTCTTACTAAACAAACGTCATCGATTCAAAGTATAAATCTAAAATTTGTTTTTGACTAGGTACTAAGGATAATTAAAAATTTTCAAACTGTTTAGTCAATCGTGTTAACAAAAGATTTGAACGAAAAAGACATGTAACGAGTGCCACGGCCACGCTTTATGATTCATAATTCATTTTCTCTTAATTTAAAGAAAAAGTCTTGATATAATTTACATTTATTGCTCTTTTTATAATTTTTGTTTCAACTCTTGTTTTTTTTTTTAATATTTGCTTAGAGCAATTTTGTTTACACCTAACAAATTCGAAAGGTGTTTATAATTGTTTACAAACATAGGTTATTTGAATGCAGTTTATCTATTAATTTCTGAAATTGTCTTGAATTGTGTGAACAGTTTTGGCAACCTATATTCTACTAATTTATGGTAAACTTTGCTTGTTTGGGCTGGTTTAGTGTTCATTATACAAAGGTATAACCTTTACCAACTTATTGACATCTGTTCTCAGGAATGGACTCTGAAGATTCACATGATGCTACAGGAGATGCTCGCTCTTCTTCAAGCAGTAGTAGTTCCAGTTCCAGGAGTCGAAGAAGTTCATCTTCAGGAAGTGATAGGTCTAAAAAGAACCCTAAGTCTCCATCCTGTTCACCAGCATCACCAAGATCTAATGGCCCCAGATCACCCTCACCTGAAAGTCAGTCTCAATCTTCTCAAAGATCACAATTCTCTAGTAAACCACCATGTTCTCCAGATAACTTAAGTGGTGCTCATTCTGATATTAACTCTCCTGAAAATTCAATGCCTGCATCTCCACAAGGTCCTAAATCACCAGATGGCCCAAAGTCCCCAAGTGATATAGGATCAAACATTGGATCACCTGAGCAACCTGAACAGTATTCTTCTGCACCACCTTCGGCTGGTGAAGGTCCTAAAACTCCACAGTCACCTAGTAGTTCGGCAAAATCACCAGCTGCTTCACCCCGTTCTAGGTCACAGCCTATCTCACCAGATTCTGCTTCACAAATAACATCACCTCCAAGAAAACCTGTCCATCATTCTCCTACCTCAAGTCCTTCTCCAGATAGAAACTCCTCTCATTCATCACCTGTACAATCTCCATCAGTCAAAAAATCTGATTGGAGTCCTAAAGAAAAGTGGAGGAGACATACTAAAGCAGAACAAAAAATGGTTACAATTCCACATCGTCGTAGCAGGTCAGAATCTAGTCAGTCCAGCAGAAGTTCTTCTTACAATAAGAGAACGAATGTTAAGGATCCAGCCACTGAAGAAATCTCTGATGGTAAGCAATGTAATTGAATTAGAAAAGATTACACTACATTTAATATATACTACATTAAATAATAACCGTGTATAGTATAACATTGCTGTTATATGCAATATACTTCCAAATTTGCAAAATAGGTTCAGAATAAGTAGTATAGGTGAATGATGAAAAAAATTAATTAAAAAAATCAAACATTTTGTCCTTCTTATCTTTTAAATTCAGAATGAATGGTAAGATATTTTCAGAATAATTGTCATTTTAAACTATTTTACTATACACACAAATTTGTAAGGGTCGCTTGGTCGGCAAAACATTGTGAATTGAATCACACACAAAAGAGCATTAAAAAAAATTATGATTAACAACAAATCAGTTTGAGATATTCACTGTGTAAATTGCCTTTTGGTTTAAAGGTAACAATATAGGTATCCAGTTCTAATTTCTAATGACAATAAAAAAAAAATATCACTTCAGGGGTGATTTTATATCATTTCTCTGGAGTGAACCATAAATGTTAACATATTTTTTACATTAGAATTATATTAATGCTTAGTTATTATGAGGTTACCAAAGCATTTTGTATTCCAATTTAAAAGTATTTTTTTCATGGGCATTGTTATTTAAGTCAGTTTTAAACTTTCAGTGATATATAAAGGTATGCGTCCACAGGCTTGTATCATATGTATCGGCCAGATAATAAAAAACTGATTTGTTTATGATGTCCACAGTATCCACAACAATTGGATTGTCAATGTGACATCCCTTTGTAATCATTTCTTTTTTTCAGTTTTGACTGTAACATTTAATTATTTATTACTTATATATTGCTTATTTTAGGGCTTACAAATTCTGAAGATTCTTTTTGAGTTGTTATCAGGAAGATGCTGGTACCTATCTCTTGCTTCAGTTTCCTTCTGTTGCCTCTTACAACACCCATAGGATAATACAGGGTAGTGGATATTCTTCACAACACTATGTCACTTCAATATGTAAATTTATATATACTTCTTTTTAACTTATTTAATTATCCAAATTGCTATGTACTTTTTAAATTTATATTTCTATGTATTGGCAATATACAAAACTTATAAAATTTTCAGGAGAAATGGAGTCAGATCAAGAAGACCAGAACTCAAGAAGTAAATCTGTAGCAAGTGATAAAAATGATGGAAAAGATCATAACATTAGTCATGAGGATTTATCTGATGTATCTGACTTGGATTCAGTTGGACCAGAAGAAGTTGATAAAGAGTCAAAGGTACAATATATAATATAAAACATAGTATAAAGATTTAAATATTGATTATAATGCCTTTACTGAATGTTCAGAATATAAGCTAAATTGTTTATGTTCTTTTAGTTAAAATCACCTCCAGCATCCCCAGAAAGGAATCAGGATATTAATACTAATGGAAAAGTTACTACAAATTTGCAGTCTTCACCAAAATCTGATAATGGAAAAAATGATACACCAAAATTGGACAAAGTAAGGATATTTCCATTTTTTGTTGTATTATAATGAAGAAATAATTGTATATTTTATTAATGAGCAGCAAAATTCAATTGATAATTAATGTTATAATTGACTTTTGCTTTGCTATTTATAATTTATATTTTAGGTACCTCAGGAGAAAACAAGTAATACAGAGGATGGGGAAGAACAGTTGGATTTTGAAGCAGAAGAAGGTGAATGCATAGAGACTAAACCCAAGGATAAATCTAATGGAGACATAGAGCAAGTGGGTGAGAAAGGTTTGTGAGGCAATAAAAGCTTAAGTAATTCATACATTAGTTGACAGGGCCGAATCAAAATAATATTATTGACCTTGGCCTGACCACAGGTCTGACTAAGTTGGCCCAATACAATGTTGGGACCTGATCGTATATACTTCAAGAAATAGTAGATACTTCTATGACATTTGTAACATCAATTCAAAAAGTGACAGTTTATTTGTTGTCAATCTAACATTTAACTGAATTTTATTACTGGAAGGTTGTGTATCTTCATACTTTTTACATAACTTTGTTTGGTTTAATTAATAATTAATTAAAATTAAATGAGGTATATCTTATTTTTCATAATCTTCTGAAATTCCACAAATGAGCTAAGAAGCGTATGGGTTGCTATGACTACATAGACACCATCAAACAAAGCAGACCACGGGTGTATTGCTACCTTTGAGGAGTAAGATGTAATGCCCCATAGCCTATAATTAAAGTAGCTCTCTTAGCGTTAAAACAGTGAATGCAATACTGCTTGATGCTAGAAATGGGTAAGAGAGTGTGATCAACTCATATGCTATTGTTTTTTCTTTATATAGGCACAGATGAGGCAAAAGCGGGTCGCCGGTCGCGAGGATCTTCTTTGGAGGAAGGTGAGGTGTCAGATGAAGCTGAACGCAGACCAGAGGAGAGTGAACCACGTCCTGTTTGCCGATTTTTCTCTCGTGGTGCTTGTACATGGGGTGTCAGTTGCAGGTAAAGATTGTTATTAAATTGAAATGGATTTTATTGATCTTTTTTGCTCTTGTCCAGTTTATTTAAAAAAAAATGAGTTAGCTTCGTCCATTTAATTCCGTGGCGTTTTTTTTTTCCATTATCCGTTTCATTTATTCCAGATTCCTTCACCCAGGTGTTACAGATAAAGGCAATTATAACATGTTTGATGTAGTACGAGGTGTACCGACTGGCGGGCCATATACCGCTCCTCCGCGTGACGTCGCTCCACCTGAGTCAGCCTGGGAGCGCGGTTTACGTACTGCCAAAGAAGTAATCACATTTTGCGTTATTACTAGGCTGAATATCTCTAGTAAATTATTTAAACAATTGCAGTTAGTGGACTTGTTCTGTGATCTAATATCCTTAATACCTTTTTAATTCGTTTTTTAATTCGAGATTGTTAAAGTTATAGCCTATATACGACCCACTGCTGGGCACAGGCCTCCCTTAATTTCTGAGAGGGTTTTAGGGTAAGGAAGTGTTCGCCGCGCTGCCTCAATGCGTGTTTGCGAACTTCACATGTCTTCGAAATATTTGTTTGAGATTGAGTAAATGAAAAATAACAAGTTGAATTTGATATGTTCAATTGATAAGTGATGCATTTGAAGATGCTGAGGATAGCGAACAAGCGCAAGGAGCAGGACATGGACTTTGAGGAGAAGAAACTGCACTTGTCGGTGGGTGGAGTGGTGCACGACCCGGACGCGGAGCTGGCGTACGCGGCCGCCGCGGTGGGCGCCTCGCCGCCGCGCCACGACCTGCCCGCGCACGCGCACCGCGACCCCGACCCCTACAGGTACCCCTGCACCCCTGCACCCCTGTACCCATAGCCACCCTGCCGACACCAACACCAACATAACAATCATTACTCTTCCTATTTATCAATAAGTGCTATGAGTAATATTACCTAATTTTAGTAAGAAGACACAGGTCCACTGCCACATTACCATCATCACTATTGTCACAGTTTAAAAAGCTAACAGTTGTGAAACACCTTTGACGCCTATACGCCCGCATAGAGTATTTACTATTTACGCCGTCGTCGCAAAATGCTAGGGATCACGAAATTGATAATAAAATAATTTTGGATATTATAATACTCGTTATCATTTAGTAACATTATATTAACTTATAAGTTAAAAACATTTATTGAATAAGATCAATTAATATTACTACAAGAAAAAATACATTTGCAAGTGTTGCAATGCCAAATATTTTCGTGACACTTTCTTTTTATATACAATTTCAGCTTTTGATCATTAAATATAATTATGTAGTGTATTAGCATTCAGATAAACAATTTTATCAAAAAAAAAAAATTAGGGAAACATAAGCATGGCTATCATTTGAATTCGAATTTACTTAGTAACTCATATAACACTCATTGACCATTATAGATATAACATTTTTCGAAAACGGCACTTAAAATTAATTAAATAAATACTATAAAACGCTCGCGTCAACCGCATGCATTGTACAGCAGACTTAGTGGAGTGCGCTGGTACAAGGCGCTTCGCCCCCTACCCCCGAAGACCCCCGCCGTTTTTCCCGAAGTACATTCGTTTCCTAACTGTTAGACTGACTTTAAACTGTGCTAATGTAGTTGTATTTTTTTCTATTCACACATAACCATCTTTGATCTGTATTGTAAATCATTTGTGATATTTTTTAAAATTCCTTAACAAATGATATTTCAAAAAAATATATATTCTTATATTTTTCATCAACATTTACAATATTTTTATTCCTTTACAATTACACTTGCAGCAGACCCTACGGCCCGATGTACCGTGGACGGTTTCCTCGGCCGGCTATGGACGAACGTGAACGCTATTACGATCGCGAACGTACCTACGAGCGAGAACGCATGTACGATCGCCCGCCACATTATGACGAACGTACTGCTATACCAGAAGAACTACCATTCCATAAGGTATTCGTACGTTTAATTGTGGTACCTCCACTAAATAAAGCGCGTGTTTTGGGGGAAATTTCTAGATATTCAAAATCTTATAATACTCTGTAATTTTAATCATAAAGGCTAATTAAATATTTCAAGTTATGAAGTTGATGCAAAAACAGTCTATTTTAAATTTCTTTCAGTTCTTTGAAGTCGGCTTTTAATTTTACTTATCCATTTGAGTGCACTAAAGAATATCACGACCTCAATGTCATCTAATGGCCGGTTTTCCATTTGCCGGCACGTTTTTCCACTGCGCCGGTCCCAGTGCAGTGGTATGCGGTGACCGGTGGCTGTCACCAAATTAATGCGTCCTTGGTTGTATGCGGAGTCCCCAAGGAACTGATTTATAAGTTGGGAACTGACAACCGTGTGAGAGCCTTCAGTGTTTATGGTCAGTTTACACGGCGTTCCGTTGACCTCGCCCTTGATGATTAGACTGTTCTCATCATGAGTTTGTGAGATCGAAATCCTTGGGGCTCTTTTAACATCAGCCAGCACCCGCCCCGCTAGTATAGCTCCGAAGTACCACTCGGAGCGTAGGCCGCTCCCCGGGCAGCACACCTTGCCCGGCGGGAGATCTCCCCTTTTCCTTCCACCCGCCACTCTCGTTTCCCTCCTGCTGCTGGGCGGTGCTGTTAGCCGCACTACCCTCTCGAGATTATCACCTCACGTTTCTACAATTCGCTTAGGGCAGCTGGATCGAAGATGACCCCTTTCCCAACAGCCGTAGCAACTAGGGCTGTATCCTTTATTGCCGTAGCGGACTGTAGCTGCTGCAACCTCCCTGACGCGATGGGAAAGATGATCCTGCCGCACGGCTTCCAACTCCAATGCATGGGCTAAGGCGTCTTTAGGCGTCTCGTGGTGCCCGAGCCTCACAGCAGTACTGACTTCAAGGTCGTGGATGTCGTCGATGAATGTCTACACCGGGTTCCCCACAATAAGCTCAGGTTCAGACTGGTATGCTTTTCGAACCAGCTTCTCCATCTTAAGGGCCCACTACTGCAGATTTTCATTGCTACGTTGCACGCGATCTTTGAGCTGCGCACGAAAGACGTATTCCAGGTGAGCGTCGCCATATCTCGCCTCCAATGCCTCAAGGATAGCTGCTCGTAAGTCACTTAACTTAGTCTTACTGAGAGCTTCCAGAACAGTTAACGCCTGGTCGCGCAGGCCTAGGGTGAGAGGCCTTCATGAGAGCCTCAAACTGGATTTTGTAGGCCGACCAGGAAGAAGGCCCGTCGAACGGCGGCACTTTGAATCCACGTAGCGAAGGTGTTGTACCACGGCTGCCACGGGAGCTGTAATTTCATCCCCAAGTTTGAGGTCGTCCAATGTTTTCTTCTCGTCAGCCATCACGTTTTAACCCCGATTGTTCACTTCGTCGATTCGGGTTTCTGCTTCCGACAGGCGGATGTAATGTTGAGTAACCTTATCCTTCACCTCCCTTATCTCTTTCCCGAAGGTAGCGTAAAGGTCCTTCATGAGGAGCATCTGCTCTTCCTTATCGCGTTTGATCTACCTAAGTCAGGTGCTGCAGATGCAGGAGCTGCTGACGGGCCGGCCTCCGTGGTCAGCAGCTGGTCCTCCGACATCTGCGGTGTTACACTACCAAATCGTCTCTGGTCCGTCTCTTGCTGGCGTTGACTTCGGGTACGGATACCCTCCGTGTGGTCTTTTGGTAATATCGGCATGATTTGATCCCACTTCTGACACCAATTGTTACGCGCAAGCTTAGCGTTCGAGACGATTATAAATTGCCGAGTGGATTAACAAAATTGACACTTTAATTACAGAACACTAATTACGAGTACAACGTAAAACCACACTAATAACAAAACACAATTGTACTACTGATCACTTTAGTTCGCAGTTGTATCGCTTCAAAGTATTCACTTGTATCGCCAACTCAACATTGACTCCGGTCGCGGTCTATAGCCTTATATAGGGCCTCAGATAGTTCCAGAATCTTCTACTGTAGATATATCTAGAATGTTCGAGGACATACCGGTCCCGATTGACTAGGTGTCGAACGTTATAGAAAGTTATTTCATGGAAATTTCTAGAAGGATCTTGACTCTCCTAGTTCTGCCACTCCATACTAGAAGGCGCTAATGGTAACTAGTGTTGCCATTTACTAGCCATTAATGGTGGCGATCTACAATATAAATACAAAAAAATTATACGTGGTAAAGCCATGCTGCAGCTATATTAGTAGTATAGTTGTAGCACGAATGGGTCGGCTCGACCGGGGAAGAACCACGCTCTCACAGAATACCAGCGTAAAATAGCAGCTTTAAACTTCTGTGTTTCGTATGGTGAGTGTAGAGAACCGAAGACCCATTTTACTGGAAAAGAGGCATTCCATCTTAGTCCTCACGGGTGACAACGCATTTGTGAGGTGAGGATAGATATAGATGTCTATGGGCCACAGCAGCTACTTACCATCAGGTGGACTGTGTGCTCGTTTGTCACCCTATCCTATAAAAAAAAAACAAAAAAGAACATAGTTGAATTGTAAACCTCTTTTTTGAAGTCTGCTAAAAACTGACAACAAGATTCTGGTCTTTGTAATTTTTATCCTTTACGAGGGCGGCATTGAAAATTTCGGGAATCAAGCAAGTGACACAACATTACTATTTAAAAATGTATTTATTGCTTTTCGAAGTATTCTCCGCGAAATTTGACACATTTTTCCATACGATGGAACCAATCATTGAAGCAACCATTCCATTCGGAAGTTGGGATCTCCAAAATGGCCGTTTTGTAGGCGTCCACAGCTTCTTCAGGTGATGAATCTCTGTCCACGTAATTTATTCTTTATTTTACGGAAAGTGTAGAAATCATTATGGCTTAGGTCGGGGCTGTACGGCGGATGGTTTAATAATTCTATGTTTTCTTGCTCTAAAAACTCTGTTCTGTGTGCGGTGTGAGAACTCGTATTGTCGTGATGGAGGATGATGCGGCGGTTGCAGTTCTCTTTACGGAGTTCAGAAACGACCTATGGCAAACAAATGCTAGCATACCATTCTGCATTAACCGTTCTTTGTCCCTCAAGAGGAATAGTCGTAACATGGCCGGTTTTGGAACTCCGTGAACGAACAATTTTTGTTGACTTTAACTCATTTTCGAACACCCAAACTCGTGACTGGTTTTTGTTTCGGGTTCGTACGCGTATATCCAGGATTCGTCACCTGATACGATGTTGTATACAGCATTTGAGGATCCTGCGTGGAATCTTTCGAGAGTTATGATGCAGCAAGTAACGCGAGCCGCTTTTTGCTCTTAACAGAGCGAATGCGGTATCCATCGGGAAAACAACTTTTTTACACCATGCAAGATTATTTGTATTTGACTCATGCCAATGTCTAAAGTTGCCTGAATTTCGCGGTGTGTCACATGTCGATCTTCCTCAATCAGCTTACGCACAGCATCAACGTTTTCCTGGGTGACTGCAGTTTGTGGACGACCTTGACGGGGATCATCACTGAGCTTGACACATCCACGTTGAAATTCAGCAAACCAGCGATAAATTGTGGTTTTGGATGGGGCTTCATCACCAAATGCAGAAATCATCCGGTCAACACACTGTTTTTGTGTTAAACCACTTCGAGAGGTATAATAAATCATCGCTCTTGAATTTTCTCGAGTCAATTCCATTTTCTCAACGACTAAACAAGTTTGACAAAACCTTGTGACAAGACCGAGAATTTTTTTTTTAATAAATAAATGGTATTCGATTTCTAAAACCAAGGACTTTTCAATTAAAAAGATTTTAATATGACAGGAACAGTGGAAATATTCCATTCCCGATACTTTTAGTGCAGCCTATGTATTATTAATTAACTTTGACTTTTGATTTAAAAAGTTCACTTAGGAAATCTTTCAGTCGATAATGGCGATGTATTCCTGCTTCTTCTTTATTAACCCCTTAATAGTGCTCAGATAGATAGATCCTTTTTCCTTAGTAAGAAATAATTTCCATAATGCTACATAGATAACCAATTGCAGGTCCAGAAGCCTTATAACTTTGATACTGCTCCCAGTCCCCGTTCAAGGTATTTTACATGAGGGATATATGAGATAGTACCAAGATAATAATTTATGGGTTTTTCCGTCCTTTCCACAAGCGCTTTTTAAGATATCAATGGAATGTACATAATTTGTAAATGGGATGATTCTCTTATGCCGTCGCCACATTACAAATGGCGATGAATTGCGGCCGATCTGGACCTTGCGACACTAACTTGGCGAATGCTATATTTAGAGCGTCCTTAACCTGACAATTTTGATTTTAGAGAAGAGTTCGTTCGTCACGGGAGGTGATAGTTCAGAGAGCGGAAGTGGAGCGACGAGAGGGGCGGGAAGGGCGCGAGGGACGTGAGGGTCGGGAGGGGCGAGCGAGAGAAGGGCGCGAGGGTCGGGAGGGGCGTGGTGACGACTGGGCCGACCCCTGGATGCGTGCCGAGCCCGCCGCTCGCCGCCGACGCCCGCCTTCCTCGGAGGACTCGTACAGCACCTCCAGGTACCGTATTACTAACACCACTGTGTCCATTTAAAAATTTAAATTGACGTTATAAACTCCCGCTACCTTTCTCCTAGTGATTTTAAGTTGTTGCTGTTCTATGGCAGTTATTTCGTGTCTGTCTATATGAGAATGGCAGGGAAGTTCTGAAGTGATTTTACGCAATAGATTTTCGTTATAGATATTTCATAAGAACAACTCATTATGTAGATCGTTGATTCATCCATACTTCTTCGTTACAGTCTTCATTTTGTTTATCCTCTAGTATGATTACCAACCTGCATATTATGTTTTATTCCATTTCGTTTATTTTTGTTTTTGATCATTTCATTTACTATATTTTATCGTCATTTTTTATTAATATATTGTTTTCTTACATTTACTTTATATCATTCTCATAAGTTCTTTTGAAATATCTATATTGTGTGAAAGATGGGAAAAGTTGAAAAATATAAACTTCCGTCATTTACACCAATCTACCGAAAAAGGAATTTCTCAGAAATTTCCAAATTTCAAGGTACCATTGTCGAAAATTGAGCTGTTATAAGTTTTTAAACTATACATAAAATAAGCAAAATGTGCTTATTTCTATTTAAAAGTAACTTAATGGTTTATATTTGGTGTTCAATTGAATCCAATAGATATGCACAATTACACTAAAAGTTCTCTAATTTTTTTTTAATTTTTTATTACTTATAGTTTTTATAAATAAATATGAAAAGAAACTCTAAAGTCGAGGACCTTAAATAATGGCTTTGTTATAACAAGTTGCAAATTGTTTAGTTTTTTTCTTTATTATTTTTTTCCTCAAAAAAAAATTATACTATAAGGATGTTCAAAATTATACTAATTAAAATATTTTCTCCCCTATTGCTTCGACCCCACTCCTCTGGCCATTGGGTTTGCTTTCATTACTCTAACGTTGTGGTGTTTTGGTGTTCGATTTCTGACGAATCTCATCTCTACTCTCCATAACTATTGCATGTTACGTAACTATCGCGTAATATAAAATCATTGGGATTCGCTACCGGCTGCGTGCTGTGCGTTTGTGTGATTGAACGTGTGGACGTACACGTGTGGAGTGCGTGTGCGTGTGCGTGTGCGTCCGTTGCGTGTGTGCACCGCCCACCGCCCACCTCCCCCGGCGTCCCTTTGAGTCCACAGCTCTTCAAATTCCAGCTCGCGTAGTTCGGGCTCAGCGGCCGCTCGACGCAAGAGGAGGGCGTCATCATCCTCTCGCCAAAGGTAATTTTATTATTTGTTGGTTTGGTTAATTTTCATTAACAAACTAAACTGTTTATTCATACTAATATTAAATAACACTGCAACTAACAACATTGTATAATATTGTGATATATTATGTGTTTTAATTTGGCTCAGTGTATATATACAATCATAAACACGACGAAATTATAAATATAATAACTAATTTGATATTTAATCCAAAAATGGTCATAAAAGTTATTTTCACTTTGATGACCATAAGCCAAACTAGTCTATCTACACTTTTGTAAAGAGTTTAAATTGTGTGTAATTTATATACATATTTTATTGAAACTAAGATGTTACTATATGGACAAATACATTTTTTTGTGATTTGAGTTTAAATTTCGTGATGATAATAATTAAATTTGTTTTCTAAATAAATTGAAGTAAAAAATAATTAATTTAAAATAAATTTTAATCCCATTTTACATAAAAACAATAAATAAAATAAATAAATAGTCTTTCTCCTCAAAACGATATTATAACACAACTAGCTGTTCCCCGCGACTTCGTTCGCGTGTTAGGGTTTTTATGTTTCTGCGCGGAACCCTGATTTTTTTTCTAAAATAAAAGTATCCTAAGTTACTCCTTATGAAATCAGCTATCTGCCAGTGAAAGTCCCGTCAAAATCGGTCCAGCCGTTTCGGAGATTACCCGGAACAAACAGACAGACAGACAAAAATTTTAAAAATTGTATTTTAGTTATAGGTATCGTATTTACTTTCATATGCATTTAGTAAAAAACTGTAATTTTGACATTACAAACAGACACTTCAATTTTATTTATTTGTATAGATGTATAGATAAACTAATAAAGAAAACGAAAAATTTACACTTAATGAAAAGCTAAGTTTGAGAGGATCTTTAGTTTTTGCTAATGACCGTCCGAAATTTCGGTTTCGGCTAGTATCGCGCAAAAAAGCTGCAACATTTGGCCGATACTTTACCTCGGAAGAAACTTTCGTGAGTTGTCAGATTAATTCAGGTTTTCTGAACGGAAACGTGATATGTTTTTCTTTTTTATGTGTATTACCTCATAACTTTTTTCTCGGTGAACTGATTTCGATGATTCTTTTTTTTATTTAAAAGCTGGTGCTTCTCATGTGGTCTCTTATAAATTTGATTAAGGTCTGGCAAGTAGTTTTGAGTTATCCTTGATAATTTATAATGAAGTCGGTTGTACAAAGTTTTTAATTTTACCACTTGTATTGGAATAAGAATGTATTGTTGTTATTTCAATAGCCTCACAAGAATCTTTTGCAGGACACAACAGAGTTCTTTTGTGAGGATTTGTGATCTATCAAATCTGATGTAAGAAATGAATATGTTTTCAGATAGCAGATTTCCCGGAGTCTGCTTGTCCTATTTTTGTTTGCCGTATATCAAATTAATTTAAAATGAACATAATAAAGCAACAGTACACTTACGGTATAGACTATTTACAAAACATTGTGTAATAATCGTCCAATCGACTACAATCGTGATCCATTTCTTCGATATCCCCCGTGGCTAGGCGATCCCTTCTTGGGAGAGGACAATTTCTCCTATGTTTTACAGGCAAGGCGTGCTTTAACACAAGTACGCCTTCCTTGACTGTCTCGATCCCCAACTGCGCATCAGACTGGGTCTGGGGATACTAAGACTATTTTTTAAGTTTAGGTGATTATATATTTATGATTATATTTTTATAGAGAATCTCACAGTAACTCGGCATTCATTAATTGGTCTCATAAATTCTCTTTGTATAAACAAACATTTAAATGATTCATTGAACGTGCTTGAATATAATAAAGTCAGAATCAAAAGAAGGATGCAGCTGAATTTGTTAATTTTAGTTGCCAATTTTTATTTTATTTTATTATCGTGTTCGGGTAAGCATAAACATAATTTTGTATGAATGTATATATTAAAATTACGTTATTAACCCTATTATTATTTTATTCAATACTGTTAATTAGTTTTTCTTTAAAATTAAAAAAAATCTGTTTCATATTATCAATCCATCTCTAACAATCACTAATCCAATTTGTGAGTAGTCATTCAATTTCTTTAAGGTCCTTGTGAATGTTATTAATACTCTTTAATTAATGTGCACCGCTTAGTGGCGGTGTAAGAGAGTTCACTACCCCCACATCATCCCGCGACTTTCATCAGAGGCAACAGAAGGAAACTGAAGCTGGAAATGGGCACCAGCATCTTCGTGATACAAATAGAATCGAAATAACAAATAAAACTGTAGTTGCCAACGTGCCAAGTGTGACAACTATGCAAATAATCTCCTCTATGAACTATGAGGGAGGTCTATGTTCAACTGGTCGACTTTTGATGGGCTGTGCTATAAGAAATGAATTAATTACTGCATTATTGCTTTTTAGCATTTCGTATGAATTTTGTTTTCGTAAGAGATGAATCCTATGTAATGTTTTTTTATAACGCGATATGTGTTGGCATAAAGTATTACAAGTTTGAAATCTGCCTTAAACACCAGTAAATGTAATACATGGGCCGTATGAATAAAATAATATTTTATTACGGCGCTGCTTAGATTTTTTTAAATTCCTGTAAACCTAGTCGGCACGTTTTGATGTTTATGATAACACACCATGAACATTGAACAAATATGAATTATTCTAACATCGCTCCATGCTTCGTCTCTACACTCGAGTCATTTTCCTATTTGAACAATCCTTTAATTTATAATAATACAAACAAGCATGTGCAATAAAATTTACTATAGTAAATAAGATTTTGTGTAGTTTTGGTGTAAGAATATTTACATGTTTTCCCGTGGGTATCACACATTTCATTATTTAATAACCCTTAATGAGATATTAAAAACATACATTTGATGGCGGTGTGTTGGCGCCTGGTACCGCAGCTATATTATTGTTAATATTTAAGTGGTGCTTTATGTAGGTTGTCGCCGTCGGTGATAGTCCGCGAGAGGCGGCTGGCAACGGCGCGAGCTACTGCTATGAACCCGCCCGCGCCGCGACGTCGGGCGCCCTCCCCGGCCGCCGCGCGCCAGTTGTCCGCCAACCCGCCGCCGCCCGCCTCGCACCGACACAAGGTACGCGCTCTCCAGCTGCCGCCAACCCGCCGCCGCCCGCCTCGCACCGACACAAGGTACGCGCTCTCCAGCTGCCGCCAACCCGCCGCCGCCCGCCTCGCACCGACACAAGGTACGCGCTCTCCAGCTGCCGCCAACCCGCCGCCGCCCGCCTCGCACCGACACAAGGTACGCGCTCTCCAGCTGCCGCCAACCCGCCGCCGCCCGCCTCGCACCGACACAAGGTACGCGCTCTCCAGCTGCCGCCAACCCGCCGCCGCCCGCCTCGCACCGGCACAAGGTACGCGCTCTCCAGCTGCCGCCAACCCGCCGCCGCCCGCCTCGCACCGGCACAAGGTACGCGCTCTCCAGCTGCCGCCAACCCGCCGCCGCCCGCCTCGCACCGACACAAGGTACGCGCTCTCCAGCTGCCGCCAACCCGCCGCCGCCCGCCTCGCACCGACACAAGGTACGCGCTCTCCAGCTGCCGCCAACCCGCCGCCGCCCGCCTCGCACCGACACAAGGTACGCGCTCTCCAGCTGCCGCCAACCCGCCGCCGCCCGCCTCGCACCGACACAAGGTACGCGCTCTCCAGCTGCCGCCAACCCGCCGCCGCCCGCCTCGCACCGGCACAAGGTACGCGCTCTCCAGCTGCCGCCAACCCGCCGCCGCCCGCCTCGCACCGACACAAGGTACGCGCTCTCCAGCTGCCGCCAACCCGCCGCCGCCCGCCTCGCACCGACACAAGGTACGCGCTCTCCAGCTGCCGCCAACCCGCCGCCGCCCGCCTCGCACCGGCACAAAGTACGCGCTCTCCAGCTGCCGCCAACCCGCCGCCGCCCGCCTCGCACCGGCACAAGGTACGCGCTCTCCAGCTGCCGCCAACCCGCCGCCGCCCGCCTCGCACCGACACAAGGTACGCGCTCTCCAGCTGCCGCCAACCCGCCGCCGCCCGCCTCGCACCGACACAAGGTACGCGCTCTCCAGCTGCCGCCAACCCGCCGCCGCCCGCCTCGCACCGGCACAAGGTACGCGCTCTCCAGCTGCCGCCAACCCGCCGCCGCCCGCCTCGCACCGACACAAGGTACGCGCTCTCCAGCTGCCGCCAACCCGCCGCCGCCCGCCTCGCACCGGCACAAGGTACGCGCTCTCCAGCTGCCGCCAACCCGCCGCCGCCCGCCTCGCACCGGCACAAGGTACGCGCTCTCCAGCTGCCGCCAACCCGCCGCCGCCCGCCTCGCACCGGCACAAGGTACGCGCTCTCCAGCTGCCGCCAACCCGCCGCCGCCCGCCTCGCACCGACACAAGGTACGCGCTCTCCAGCTGCCGCCAACCCGCCGCCGCCCGCCTCGCACCGACACAAGGTACGCGCTCTCCAGCTGCCGCCAACCCGCCGCCGCCCGCCTCGCACCGACACAAGGTACTACGCGCACTCATTTATGGCCGCTCGCTGACGAATCACACGGTACTTTTGATTAAATAATACAACTTTTTATTAATATAATTATACCTGCTTTCTAATCCTTGCCGAATTCAATGCATTTGCATTCAGAAATAAAAAGAGAACCTGAAATTAGTACTATTTTCGTCCTTTGCTTAGAATTCAGGAAACAAACAAATGAAAATTAAATTAATTTTAACAGGAAGAATCAGATCCATATGGTCGAAGTAAAGCGTCGAGTCGCAATAGAAATAGGAAAAAATATTCAAGATCGTCATCGTCTGGTTCAGGTAATATATTATTCATTTAACATTCATTATATTTTGTTGTCCTAATGTCCAAACCGAAATCGTACTGGTCAAAGCATTGAAACAAGAAGCTGACATTGTTTTGTCAACAGAGCTGCGACCGAGTGATTGTATACGAGTATATAATTTTAGATAAGATGTATTTAGTCGTCGTCGCTGTTTAACAACACACAGCTATAAAATGAAGGTGGAACCAAAACCTATTCGTTAAATAAAACACTGGATGAAAACTTGTGGGTAATTGTAAAACTACTGAAAGGTCACATATAGACCTTGTATATATTTTGCAATAACCGGCCTAATTTGCACAGAATGTTCAGAATATGTAAAATAGGCAAATGGCGAAGAAAATTTAATTAAAAAAATATTTAACATTCTGTCCTTTTTATCTTTTAAATTCAAAATGCGTGGTAATGCATTATTTTAATTGATTTTACTGCGCACGCACACATTCGTAAGGGTCGATTGGCAGGCAAAAACTTTGTTGCTCATAAATCACATTCAATTTGGGATAGTTTGGATTCAATTAATTTTTTTTAATTGTGTAAAAAAAAATAACTCAAAATTAATGAAAATTGTGGATCATCTTTTTTTAGAAAAATAGATAAAGGTTTACCGATAAAGTAATTAATCTAATAGGTTGAATTAAAGTAGACAATTAGACTGTTTTAATAAAACACGACTAATAATATTAGTATTATTACTATAAAAATGACTAGTCATGTTATATTTAAATAATCGACTACTTAAGTAAAAGTTTAAGGACATGCGAAGGCTTTTGGATTTAAGATATGCAGGCATTCATGGAACTCAAATATGTGTGATTTTTTGAGTCATCACATACAAAGATAAGGTTTCAAAAGTGATAGTGATGTGTTGGCAGAGTCGTCGTCGTCGTCCAGCGAGTCGGAGAGCGAGTCGCGGTCGTCGTCGACGTCGGGCAGCTCGGGCGCGCGCCGCGCTCGCCACGCGCGCCTGCTCAACGCGGCCGCGCGCCCGCGGTACGTGCCCCTACTGCACTCACACTCACACCACACAGTGCCCCACATGATAAGGGGCCTTTGTATAAGTAAGGGTCACAGGCGAGCGTACGCTCCACCTGTTCACACTCATAGACCAACACACGGCCCCCAAGAGGATAAGTGTGACCTTTGTAAAAGTAACAGTACAGTCCACCTAACCGTTAATGGATGGTGTTTACTTGGTGAGCGTAGTTCAACTCCCATATCTTTAATGCTGTGACTGTTTTTTAATGCACTCTTAACTTCTGCGTTTCTCCAGATACTGTTCTAAAGTGTACAATTTTTATGTTCTTAAACCATATGATGTGGCCCATAGACACCGACATTTATCTTCGATAATAAATCAAAATTCCGATCTCAAAGATGAGAACTGCCACATATAACATTGCTATTTTGCCTCATGAGCACCTTGAAATAACTTTAAACAAAAAAAAGCCAAATATGCATTGTCACTGAAAAATAAAATATGTTGTCTCACAGTCTGTAACTATATTATCTCACTCTTGAAACCGAATATCAGTTACGGTACTCTTACTTTGCTGTAGAAATTGTTATTGAAGATGGTACTAACCCCGAAAGACTTAGGCATGACTGCGTCCTACTTGTGTCCCTGACACTGCAACCTTGTGTTATCGTATAAGCGTTACTTGAACAATGCAGTTCAGGACAAGTGAATGTTTCTGTTTGGATACCTGTGGCACTGTATTACCTACTGAAAAGTTGTCGCCGTGTACGATGTAATATCAAACAAAAATTAATCATTATAAAGCTTTCACAGATAAAAAATAGAAATAGAATAGAAGTCCCATTACTAAGCATAGGCCTCCCCCTTATTCCGGCTCAATGAATCAATCATGGGTTATGGAGAATGAAAATTGAAGTATTCGCCGTCCTAAGTAATTAGCATATCTTGTGTTAAGTACGTCCTCGAAACATATTAAATTTCCTGAACTTTCAGCACAAAACACATGGCTAATCAACACTTAGAATTCCAATTGTTTCTAATTATTTTTTTCTAACTAAAATTTTTCTAATTAATTTTATATTTATTGAATTAAAATAATAAAGAGAAAAATATTTTCAGCTTAAATGCCAAATCAAGTGCCGGTTTGGCAGCTGCAGTTTCGACAGTCATCAGCAAAAAGGAAGCACCAAATGACAAAGGTAGGGGAGGGGGGACATTAAAAATTAATTTAATAATTTTTTTTAAATTACGTGGGTTTTTCGAGGTGTTTTAACCTGATATCATTGTTTACCCTGGGAAGAGGCACAGATTATGAGAACAGATCTTCACATGAGAAGTAACTGTTTTCAAGTTAGTAGTATGGGGTTACGTTTGGGGGCTTCGACTACTTATTTCGCTGTTGTATTTGTTCGTTGTTTCATCCAGTAATTAACATATAAGCAAATAAAAAAAATATCTGCGTAACCTAGCTCCACGAAAACTCGTGCCAATTATCCTATACAGGTCCCAGAACTCAACGTCAAGCCGAAACGGGGTGACAGGATTGATTGTAACCATCATGAGAAAAATCAGAAAAAAAATCTATCCAGTGAACGGTGCACATTAATAAACACGCGGTGATCCGGATAGCGCTCTAAAATTTAGAGCGCTATCCGATATCTTTCACGATAAAGTCTAGCGGCGGCACTTGCGTTGCATCTGCATTCCCCATATATGAGGTGCATGTTCGCATTTTCTTGTGAAGTGTAGCGCGTAGGAATGGTAGATAACAAGGATGCCAACACAAAAGTCCAATTCCAAAAGAGAGAAGCCAAAGTTGTCGGTACTAAATCAACACAAGCGAATACGGAAAGGTGCGCAGTACCATTTTACAATCCTGATTAAATGCGCGAACTTTTAATGGCACTTGCCAAGGCACTTTAGTACATTTTTTTATAGGAGGGCCTTTCAAAATCGACGAATTTTGAACATTTTAGATTCATAGTTTAACAAATAGTCTTAATTCTAGAAAACTTGGGGCAGTTGTGTCATTATTTTTGACTGTGGTTCTAGAAATGTTATTTAGGGCTACGGTTCCAAAGTTTAAATGAACAAAAATAATAAAAATTAACCACAATAACCGAAAAATGGTTACAGTTTGACCAAATTTCTAGGTTTTTCTTAAATGCCCATAATTTCCAAACTGCATGGGATAGATGATTTTTTCTGATTTTTCTCATGATGGTTACAATCAATCCTGTCACTCCGTTTCGGCTTGACGTTGAGTTCTGGGACAGCCTGTATATCTTCAACTTGTCATTTAAAAGGATTGGGCCGATACACGCGAGTTTATAGTGGAATGCTTGGCTGACACCTTAGATTTCCTTTGACCAGTCCTTTTAAGAACGTTTTATTCAATCATATTTAAGGATGTTACCACCATTAAAAAACAAGCACACAATTCATCTGATGGAGATCAACTCTCGACTGAGAAGCAAACTGAAGATACCTTGACAAAACGTATCTCAGGTTCTCGTCAGTCACTGTACGAAGATCAGCAGAATTGTTATGATGTTTTACTGGTATTTTGTGAGAGCGTGGTAATTCAGCTAATTTGTACATTGTACAAAAACACGCTAAAATTGTGGCCGCGAAAGTTTTGTCGGTTTCGAAAGAATATCACCCGACATTATGTGTACACGTAACCTGCAACCTTCGGAAACTTAAGGCTTTCGTCATCGTCCTCTAGAAACCCATTCATCCGCTCCCGAGCTAACATCGTCTGCATTATTCAGCTCTTGCAAGCCACAACTTACAAACGTTCATCGAAGCATTGGAATAAGGCTTCTGGTCGTTTCAATGAACTCTCCACTATAGTCTTCATAATATGAGGGCGACACTGAAAGTTTTTAGAACTGGCCACTTGTAAAAGATATAATAAAAAAATAAGTTTAAATTTTGAAAATGAAACTCTTTGCCAATATTATTGTGTATGTATTTTATTAATTTGTCATTAGTTTAAGATTTGGCGGCAAATTAATTATCTGTGTCACATCAGCATGAATTTAACGCGAGAAAATTTTCATACAATGATTTTTTATGACCTTCGATGTCATTTAAGTCAACAAGAAAGTTATGATAAGACTTCGATTGGCCTTTCACGATGAAGCCCCATCTCGTACCACTGTTTACAACTAGTTTAATGAGTTTAAACGTGGTCGCACTAATCTCACCGATGATCTGCATGAGGAACGGCCTTCTACGGCGACGACTGAAGATAACATGAGTGTTGTGCGGCGTATGATAGAAACTGACAAAGAGTGACTTATTAGCATATTCGGACCAGTTTAGGCATCGGTGTGAGTCAAGTGCACAAAATCCTCCATGAACATTTAACGGTCAGGAAGCTTCGTGTCCGCTGGATACCTCATAATTTGACAGAGGTCCAAAAACTCCGTCGTGTTGATTGGTGTCGTGAAATAGTTCAAAGATTTAACGGAGGTGACTCAAATACTGTGTTCGACATACTTACGGGTGATGGAAGCTGGATTTATTGTTATGATCCTGAAACTAAAAAAGAACATCTGCTGTCTGTGTGTTTCCTTCCGTGGAGTTGCCAACTAAAGTGAAGAGGTCGAAGCGTGGGAAAAAAGATAGTGGCCTCGTTCTTCGGAAGGACAGTTCGCAACAATTTAGAGGATCTAAAAACACTTAATGCAGAGTGGTACACTAACAATTGTTTGCCACTTGTCTTGGAAAAAGTTCGGGCGAATAGACCTCGCAGTAGGATCCTCCTTCGCCACGACAACGCCTCGTCGCACACCGCCAAGCAAACAATCGACTACTTGGCGACGTCAGACGTGGAATTACTGGATCACCCGCCCTATGTGGCTGCGTTTCAAAATGTCCTCGAAGAGACCCCTAAGGACGAGTGGGCAAAGTGCTTTTCTCAGTGATTCCATCGGATGCATTCCGTATTGATGTAAAAGGACACTATTTTGAAAAGATATAATAAAACTAATAACTTGATAGTTTGTTCAGTTTTTGATTTTCTAAAAACTCAGTGTCACCCTCGTATATACCGGAGTAATTCGAAAACTTCGATAACGTTATTTAGGTTTCAGTTTGTTTCACTTGTTGCACGACGACAGCGCCATCACAAAATTCGTCGACAATGCTAAGCGAAGTGTCAATTGGACAGTCTCAAACTCTATTTTCATCGTGCGCGCTTAGGTTTTGATTTTGATTCTTATTTTTCATCATTTACAGATCTCGTCGGAAAAAAACGATCTGCGACATCACCAGTGAGCGGCGGCGCCCCGGCTAAGAAATCAGTATCAAGGAGGGAAGAGCTCTTGAAACAGTTGAAAGCTGTTGAAGATGCTATAGCTAGAAAACGTTCCAAAATATAGAGATTCGCGTTGACTACAAAACACTATGACAGATTAGATTGGCTGTCTTAGTATCTTTTTGTGTGCAATGGGACCTATTGTTGTACATTAGTGTTGGTGAATCTGCTAAAATGTGGACCCTTGCACATAAGTTTTGTTATGCAACCCTTAAAACAGTGTTTCACGTATTTATGTGGTACGCGGGTGTAAAATTAAGCTATTTTTCTATTTATAATTTGACTTTAAAACCATAATTGAGTAAGAAAATATTAAGAAAAGTATTGTATAGTAGGTAACACAATAATCTTTTGAACTCTGTAGATGGTCTCACTGTGTACACAGATTTGAAAATTATAAACACTTGATATTTATTGCTAATTGCGACAAATCAATTTGATGTTATTTGTTCAAGTTAAAACAAAGAACCTAATTGAATAGGTTTAGCGGACAATTACTCACATACATAGAACATCAAATAACTGAACTTAAATAAATAAGTTTTACAAAATGTTATAGGTGTATTTTATTTCTATGCATTAAGTTTACACGAAAATTAATTAATACACGAGATATAATATCGTAATTATCGAGAAAGAAAGAGCAGTGTAACTTACTGTTACGAGCTTGCGAATCGACAATTAAAAATTGCCGATTGAATTACCAAAATTGACACTTTAATTACAGAACACTAATCTAAAATACAACATACAATCTAAAACCACACTAATAATAAAACACAATATTACTACTGATCACTTCAGTTCGCAGTTATTTCGCTTAGAAGTATTCTCTTGTTTCGCCAACTCAATACTGACCCTGGTCGCGGTCTATACTGGCCTTATATAGGGCCTCAGGTAGTTTCCAGAACCTTCTACTATAGAAACATCTAGAATGTTCGAGTATATATCGGTCCCGATATTTCTAGAAGGATCCTGACTCTCCTAGTTCTGCTACTCGATACTAGAGGGCGCTAGTGATGACTAGTGTTGCCATGTACAAGACATTAATAGTGGCGCGCAACACTGCCCCCTCCTAAGACATGCTCGTCCCGAGCATTATTGGCCCCATAATAACGCACCAGTCCCCGCCAGTTTCCCTGCTGCTGTTGGGCGGTGCTGTTAGCCGCACTACCCTCTCGAGATCGGTCACCTCTCCTTTCTACAGTTCGCTTAGGGCAGCTGGATCGAAGATGGCCCGTTTCCCTACAGCCGTAGAAATTGTTAAATGCAATGTTAAGTGCTGATTTACCACGTGCTCAGCGGTGAAGGAAAACATCGTGAGGCAACCGGCATGTCTGAGAAATAAGAAAACAAAATCTAACACCAGAAATGATGCTATAAATGCATAAAACATACATTTTCAAGTTCCTAAAGCATTGAAAAACGTACTGTTTATGCCCAAATTTGGTTATGTTAGGACGGCACCCAATCACGTTCGACTTTGCCAATCGCCCGATCGTACCAGGTGTCACGCGTGTGTCGGAGGGGGCAGCGGAAGGGAGCTTCCCAGCGTCTTGGCGGTCGGGCGAGAGAGTAGGTGACAGTAGTAGCTTGGGAGCAGCGACCCGGTTAGGCAGAGTGTTTCGGCTACCGCTGCGGAAGTTTGTTGCGCGAGACCGGTTTCGAGTGATTAGGGTCTAGAATTTGGGTTTGAGCGCGGCTTCGCTACGTAATTGGGTTTCGTGAAATCCGCCTCGGATTTGGTGGTCTAGGATTTAGGTTCCCGTACCAGAGGCCTTTATGGGGTTTTACGGTTTAAGTAAATTCTTTGAAAGTAATTGTGCATCTTAGCTAGATGAAGTGCGTGTTTCTTCGTCACGTAGATATGTGAATTGTGCGATAGTTAACTCGTGCGAGAGTGCGGAATAGTGTACGCGCGTCGACTAGAGATACGGTCTAGGATTCGAACCGCGCATTCCTAGTTTGAGAGCTTCTCCCGGTTAATTGGCAAGATATCGTTATAATTGGTTCGTCGAGTTAGTGCCTTTTGTGTTTTAGTTGCCTAGTTAAATTAATTTGCGTGTCAACGAGGCGTATTTTGACTCTGGCGCGACGTGTTATTCTGGTGCCGAATTTATAATTTGTGATAAGTGAATCCGGGACATTCAATGTCGAATTTTATGCTAATGTCCTTGCCGTGTCGGATATCACGTGTTCGATTCTGCGATGAGTGTGGAATTAGGCGAATTGAAGTTAGTTAAATGTATAATGAAACTAAGAGACTGAATTAGTGACAATGAAGAAAGAAATGGTCCAGCGATGGAGCCTGCCGGAGCGATGCAGCATTTTGGGGCAGCCTGGAACTCGGTCGCTGCTGGTCGCCTAAGCTTGCTCAGGTCACAGACATTTACACCTCACTGTACACTACTCGCCATCCACTATCACACACACTCACGCCCTGCCCAAGCCTTGGTGCGAAGTTAGCTTCGGATAATGGTAAGTACTATGTGTTTCTAGCTTTCTCCCATATAGTCTATTGTGATAGAACATATTCCACGTGGCCATATTGAGGCCCGACCTACGTCTGCCCGTCGAAGAAGCTGCTATGGGCCCCAGCCAGGACGACCTTTGCAAGGGCAGCTGTAGGCCGTAACACATACCATATGAGGAAAGGCTGAATAAACTTAAACTAACGACTGAAAGATCGCAGAAAACGAGGAGAGTTGATCAAAACATAAAATTATACATGGATCTATAAAATTTTGACAAAGATTTATTTCAGTACTCAAAAAACACACATCTTGGGGGACATCGCTTCAAGTTAACTAAAGCCGTGTCACATAATAACCCACACAAGCACTTTTTTAGCCAAAGAGTGGTTGAAGCATGGAACAAGCTGTCGTCGGAAGTGAAATCTGCACAAACTATTAACCAATTCAAGAACAGATTAGATAAACAACTAAAATGGAGTAATTACACATTTGAAAATAGGATACGGGCTTATATCAGTTGTTTCAACTGCTATAATGCAACTGCTGGCCTGTTAATAATAATAATGAAATAATAAAAAAATATTTTGATAGACGTGAAGTTCGCCAACACGCATTGGGGCAGCGCGGCGGACATTTCCTTGCCTTGAAACCTTCGCAGAAATGAGAGGAGGCCTGTGCCCAGCAGTGGAACATATATAGGTTGTAACTCTACTCCAAGATTCTATTCAATGAGCTCTAGACAATGACGCCTCACATGGGCTAAGAAAAAATATTTGGCCTGAAGTGTGGTTGACTGCAAAGGCCATGCGAGAGTATTTTGCTGCTCATTATATGCTTTACAGGCAGCAACAAGTTTTGGGACTTTGATCCATAGAAAAATACACCATTTTCAAATTCATAGAAAAATTGGTTTTTGTTGTATATCATAAAAATGCACCAATAAAACACATAAGTTAAGAAAATACATTTTTTTTTTAATTATATTTAGACATTTTTAATTAATTCAACATTTGCTAAACGATATTTTCGCGAAGTAGTATTTCTTATAAGGGGTTTGTTTTGCCCAGTTTTTAGAAGAACAACCAATGCATTAAATGCGATGTAACCAATTCCTGCTTTACAGGCAGCAACAAGTTTTGGGACTTTGATCCATAGAAAAATACACCATTTTCAAATTCATAGAAAAATTGGTTTTTGTTGTATATCATAAAAATGCACCAATAAAACGCATAAGTTAAGAAAATACATATTTTTTTTTAATTATATTTAGACATTTTTAATTAATTCAACATTTGCTAAACGATATTTTCGCGAAGTAGTATTTCTTATAAGGACTTTGTTTTGCCCAGTTTTTAGAAGAACAACCAATGCATTAAATGCGATGTAACCAATTCCAAAACTTTTTCCTTCAGTGAAACTAAATGCACCGTGAGATAAATAGCCTAATATAGGTCTTGAACATGTGTTGCGTACGGTTTCTACATTAGACGGTAGCCAAAGTTCCCTCATACTTTTAACATATTCCGATGGCTTGGTGCTACTTGTTTTTGGGAATGTATTATTTACCTGCATGAGAAAAATGTAATTAAAATTACCTACATGTATCTTAGAGTTCACAAAACATTATTAAATTAAAATAAATACCATAGATCCTCTTTTCTTTGCTTTTTTTCTCTTTCTTTTAATTTGTTTCAAAAATTGCAGATGTTCTTTCCGTTTCTCTTTTCTTAGTTTTTCGTTTACATCTTCATGTAATGGTTCGAATAAGTTGTCGATTGTTTGAACGTCATTACTTTGGGGAAGACATATTAGGGCATGTTGTTTTAAATTTCCTTTGCCTAATGTATGTAAGCGCACAGCTATCAAACAACATTCCGCATTATCAATATCGGGAATTTCCTTTTTAGCCAAAAAGCAATCCTGAAGTAAAAGCAAGAGAATTTAAAACAACTTCAAATATATAAAATAATTACCACATAATATAAGACCTTTTGAAATCGATCGGGGCCTTAACTCTTCGATACACTTAAATGCCGATGAATGATAATGAAATGATAATCATTACGTATAACTTTCAATACACAATAGTTTATTATTAAATGGATGAAAGTTGTAGGAAATTGAGCCCAGGTGCACAACTAGGTGAATAAAGGGATATGAATCTCTGAGCTCTTAATTTAGATACAGATAATTGTACCTTAGCAATCAGCGATCACAAAAGAATAAGACATTGCACCTCATGTTTACAAAAAAACTCGTATATCTTAGTGATAACAGTATGAAGATGAAATACTTCTTTTTAAAATAAAAATCCTTTCCAATTAAATATATATATAAAAGGCCCTCCCAATTAATTTAATTTGTAATTGAAAGTCTAAAATTAAACACGATTTTCATATCGAAAACTTCTCTATTCTTAACAAATTTTTATATTCCCATATTTTTTTTATAGTATAGAGTGACAAACGACTACACAGTCCACCTGATGGTAAGTGGTTGCTGTGGCCCATAGAGATCTATAATTATCCTCATTTGCGAATCAAAATGCAGATGCGTTGTCACCTGTGAGGACTAAGATGGAATGCCTCTTTTCCGGTAAAACGGGTCTCCGGTTCTCTACACTCACCATACGAAACACAGCAGTGTTAAGCTGCTATTTTACGCTGGTATTCTGTGAGAGCGTGGTCGTTCCCCGGTCGAGCCGACCCATTCGTGCTACAACTATACTACTAATATAGCTGCAGCATGGCTCTACCACGTAAATTCTTTTAAATCTTAATATACTTTACATAAAGAAGGCTGGTCTAGCCTTTGCACTGGTCGGTTCATATTTGTGATGCATTTATGTGTTTTAACGTCCTTTCAATTGTGGTTTCATTTTATATTGTTTGTGATGTGTCAATAACCATAAAACAGGACAAATAGAAGATACCTGCAGTTTCTTTCATAGTTTATACTTCAATTGGGAGAACCTAATTTTGAAATGGTTCAAAGTAAATACGTAGCCAACAATTATTATCTCCGCAATATACTGTCACTTCATAATAGAAATATTGTTATCAGTTAACTTACCTGTATTATATCTATCAAATGTTTATCCCGTAAAACAAAAAAATCATTAACGTTTTTGCTACTCCAATCGCTAAGTAAAATTTTCCATGGACAAATAAATGGGCTGTTCACAGCCAATTTCTGATAATTAACCCTTTTACTTGGAGGTCGTCGAAAATACTTTTCTTTTAGTTGTAATTCTATTCTTTTCTCTTCTAAACTTCCTGCATCTGAGTCTGGGGGTAAATAACACTCACCCATTTCAAAGGCAACACTTTCAGTTTCGCGGAGACCTCCAGAACGAGCACCAAACATTATAAGGGTTTGCCAAAATGGAAGGCCATATCCTGCAGGGACAATAATATCCCATCCAGTTCCATAACCTAAAAATTGGATATATATTATGAGAATGTACATAAATATTTATATCAAAGATAGTAGTTATATAATACATTATGTTGAAATTTAGGGTTATTTTATTAAATAAAATATATATACGTATACACACGTATACTAGGGTGGTCCTTATTACTAAGAAGAAGAAATAAATCTTTAATTTCATGGGGCATCACATAATTTGATTCTATACCATAAGAAACTATTTCAGTGTTTTTATCTAATTTTTAAACGACATTAAAGGGTTGCTAGAAAGGATTGAATTTTAAATAAAAACTTATAATATCATCATCTACAGTTGGATTCTTAATTCATAAGTCTGAACATATATTATTATTACAAATTAAGACACGTAAATATTTGAGTAATTTGTTGTTGATTTATTATTATTAGGGTACTTTCCCATACTCTTTCACCAATCAAAGCATTACTGGTTTTGTCCTTCATTGGTTGTAATCTATTTATTATATTGGTCCATTAAAGCTACATCACACTCGGCTATGTCATTCACTACTCCTATAGAAAAACGATTTTTTGGCAGCTTGGTAATCAGCGTCTTCGTTCCAAGTTTCCATGTCTTTCGCCAAAAAATCTGTTCACATACCCAGAATTTGCAAAAATCGTAAGAAGTTACTACTCACGAAGTAATAGAATACTTCGGGGATTTTTTTTCGCGGATATGTGTGATATCAATGTTTAATCTGTTTTAGTAATCTTTGGTACCTTAAATTTTTAGTTTTTTTGTCATGAAAAAATGTAAACGATACCAGCTCTTCAACCACCAGTGACAAATATCTTCAACTGACAAATACCACCAGTGACCTAGTATTTTTTCAGCGCAACTGTAGCCATTTTTTTCTTTATGCTTTCAAAGGCCTTAAGGTCTTTAAATAATTATTGTAGATCGTTTCTTGCTGCTGACCATCCGGAAGAGGCTTGAAACCAGTATCTCATAAAGATTATCTCCATGAAAATGCATATTTCTCTCACATCTTTCTCGTCCTTCTTCATTAGTTTAAATAGGTAAATTTTCAAACAGTTCAAAGCTCTTACCATCCCTCTAGCTATACGCCTTTTTAGGAACTCCTGCTAAGAAAGATATCGTGAGATTCAACAATTCTCTTTAGTCATCTCGAAGTTAATGTACTTGTAGTTGTTTTTCCGCAAAAGAAATCCTGTCTACGGCCACTTCTGCAAGGCTGTTTGCCTCGGCGTTATCAGTTATTGTTTTGTAGTTGGTTTGGTCAATTGTGTTCCAATCGATCTTAATCCTATTGAATAATTGTATATTAGGACTACTAAAGTGATAGATCAACTACAGCTGACAACATATTAAAAAAGGTTAAATCTCAACACGTAGCTGCAGGACAGGATACAAGGGGTGCGGAGGGGGGAAGGATGCCTGTGCGAGTCTTTGCATGTTTAGTAGTTAGTAGTTAAAATGCTAAATAAACTCAAAAATGAACAATTGGTAAAACACTTATTTAAGCAGTCATACAATGCTTTTTGTTAAAGTTTGGCTACTGGTAGAGAACTCTAAATCATATCGAAAAATGAAAAGAAAATAATCTGTTTCATATTTAGATGTATATAATCAAATGATAAAATGCTGCGATGATAGTTAAAACTTCGAAAAATAAGGACCACCCTAACGCGTATATAAGCATTTTTGAATAATTGTCGTTACAAATAATTAAATAAATACGTGTTCTTAAGTTGAGCAAGAATTAGGTGTAACAGAAAATGTACGTAGCATTTTTTGTTTGCCTAGAATCAGCCCATAAATAACAACCACAATCAGCAAATCAACGATCACAGTACAACAAGACTTGTATGTTAGACGCAGCTACCCTGCACCAGTGTGAGTGTTCCACATCTAATGTGTTCACTTACGGCATTATAATATTACTTATGGTTAGTCGCATCGCCAAATTCAGACGGAAAATTTTCATATTATTATTTACCATTTTGTGGCAGTGTAACTTACGCTATCAATTACCCCATATCATCCTGTGGGTGTCGTAAGGGAGAAAATAATCCAGAAGATGGACAGCATCATCTATCTCTAAATAATAATAAAATAAACTTTGGTAGCCTAGCCAAGCGTGGCAATTATGGCAATATACCCTCCATTATGAAAGATACAAAGAGACAGCCACATATCCCAAGTGGTCCCACTATTACTGGCTATGGTGACGACCATGGTAACAGAGGGCAGGGTGTGCTGGCAACATTTAATGCATGCGCGAGAAGATATAAGAGCTTAAGGAACAGTGACAAAATGCAAAATAGGATTATTCAAGGTCTTAAAAGATAGAGAGGACATGGTAATCCTCAAATCCAGCAACTAGTTCTATTACCGGAAGGGTGTCAAATTTATCGTCCACTAGTCTCTTGTTAACAACTTGGCCAAGATAAATAGATTTCGATTGGGGTCGACAAACAATGTGTGCCTATGTTCAGAATTACCAAATGGTATTTGTTGGTCATATAAGTTTATGCACTAACCTTGGGTTATCCTGATGAGGAGGTTGAGACAATGTATGAGGATATCTCACAAGCCTTGCAACACTCCATTATATGGTGTTGATAGGAGACTTAAATACAAAACTACACACAAGAGATGGTGGGCTATATATAATAAACAGAAGAATTTACAAAAAATGTACCTACACTTGTTTGTTTTTGTATGTGACAGAATCGTATAACATACCTTCATGGACCACTGGTTAAGAATTACTGACATACACAACTGTATATTTACCATGTTCTATGCTAATAAAAGATTGTTATTATTATTGGCATATTAATATAGCATTCTCATCTGGTTGAAAAAAATAAATAAGTACTGCTACTGCTGCCACTAGAACCTCTTCAAAGACCACTGCTGACTGTAAGCTTCCTCCATAGGTTTCCTCTTACTGGGGATTTTATCCATAGTTACCACATTTGGCAGGCAGGTTGAAAGTATTTTAGTAGTTAAAAACCATCTCCTGGTTTATTTCCCTCTGTCACCTCTTAAGACACCCATAGGACAGTATGAGTTAGTGGATATTCTTACACTGCCACTACGCAATCCATTTATTAATATAAAATTCACAATGCTTCAACTGAAATTTTAGACTAATCTCTGTTTACATACCAATTTTTTTATATACTGCAATTTGTGATCCAGGTCTTTGTATTAATACTACAGGGACATCTTGTAATTCTGGATTGTCCTCATTAATTTCGCCTGGTACTAATTGTGTTTTTGTTATGTGTTCTATGAATTGACCATTGGTCATTTGTTTTTTCTTAATGTGCTCATGAAGGCTTATATTCCAAATAGGCGAGTATGAAAGATAAGGTGGGATTTCAATTAATAATGCTGTGTTAACATGTACACTGTTGTTGTTTTGTGCCTTAGTCCTATATGTTGGTCTGCTGAGACGTGGATCTTTTATTATTAAACCAATAACTACATGTGGTGGTAACAGTGAGGGTGAACTGGCTAATTTTGCATTTTCCCAATAGTCATGTTTTTCTTTTATATGTAGAAATGAAGTATTACTAATATGTGAAAGCCAGTTTTTATCAGGGAGTTTATTTAAATTTGTAACACATTTTATAGTATTATTTAAAACGGCTTGGCTTTTAGGACCAGTTAAACGAAATATGTTAAATATTCCAGTCTTAATATTAATATTTAAGTCAGAAAATTTGCTTGAAATTTTTCTTTTCTTTTCCATATGTTCAAGAGTTGAGTTTCTTAATTCAGGATTAGTGAAATTTGTAAAAATTGTCTCCAGTTGTTTAATTTGAGAAGGATGGACAAATAACCACAACTCTTTTTTAGAATCATCATTTTGTATCCAAACAAATCTAACTTTTCCAACATAACAAAGTGGATAAAAATTTGGTTTATAAATGTGAATTGTTCCTTCTCTATTTCCTGTGATATATGCTTTTGCAGTGACACTTATTCCACATGATCTGCTTGTAATGCAACTAAACATATCACCTATAACATCCACTGGACCGGTTATTTGGACAGGAGTGTAGTATGAAATATCTTGTAATAAACAATGTGCGGAGCTTGCTCTGTAACATGCTCGAAAGGCTTTGTCACAAGGTCGATCCGCAAGTCGGTATCCCCAGCGCTCAATCATGTGAAATCTTTTTGCATGCCAAATGTGTGTCTCTAGCCAAATGTTTTTCTTTTGGCGTCTATTATACTCGTTTAATAAATTTGCCGGTCGTCGCCTATATTTCCTAGATGGCCGTTTCTGTTTTGGAGGTAGCCCGCTCTTTTTCAACTGTTCTAAGTGGCCTTCTCGTAATTTTCTTGGTAAACGTTTGCAATTATGACTCATTACTCTTCGCCTCATATGAACCGGAAGAGTTTGAAAAATTAATTTAGTTTTACTTGGACGAAGAATGCTTTCAGACATAGCTGCAATTTCAATGCTCCTGGAAGCTGTAAACTTAAAGCTGTTTGCAGAAAATGGTAGATGTTCTGTACCACCTAAAGTGGCATCGAATTGTGATGTTTCCATTATAAAGGTTTATAAGCCCAAACAAAACCAATAAATAATGCAAAATATGTTAGAAAAGTGTCGACTGTAAAATAGAATAGTACGTATATATATATAATACTTCTGGACTATTGAAAATGATTGAAAACTTTTTTCCTAGATTGAAAACTTAACCTCTCAGACCTTGACATTTTATTGGACATATTTAGTTAGAACTATGGTCAAGCCAAAGAGTATAGTAGGTCAGGCCAGACGATTTTTTAAAAAAATGGTAAAAATAACTTAGAGTCATTACTATGTTCATATCCAAAAATAAAAAATTATCAACAATATAATATATCGATAAACTCAGTAGAAGCCTCAAAAAAAATTTATCACAGGTATATACTTGTACATCCGTAAGATAGCGTAATAAAGTATATACTTTATTACGCTATCTTTGAGCAACGTCATTTTTCTAACGACTTCAAACAGGAGAAGGAAGTCGACTGTGTTTTTTTATGTATGTTACCTCATAACCTTCTGGGTGAACTGATTTCGATGATTCTTTTTTTATTTGAAAGCTGGTGCTTCACATTCACATTTTTATTTTTAGTTATTGTTGAAAACAACTTCGCCATAATGTTCACTATATATCGAAATTATAACATAAAACGTAATTTTCGCGCATTGGACTTTGTGGGATATGAAAATTTGTGTTTATTACATGATTTATTGTGATAACTCACACTTTTTATTTACTTTTCAGTTAATTCTGGCTATTAAATATAGTGATACGTGAACGACACAGTATTTGAAATGGCAATTTTATAAAATATATGAAATTGTTACGAAGCAAAATATAAGGAATTAAATTTTAAAACAGTGTAATTACTTACCATTTGTATAAAAACTAACAAAAAACTTTCTATTGTACCCACTTAATTTTTTGTAAAATTTCTAGTTGCCTCTTACACTCACGCGGCGAAGGATATAAGACTAAAGTATGTGACGTAAACGCGACGCGAGGCGGAAACTCGTCATTTGAAGTAAATTCTGTTAATTTAAAGAAGCGTAATTTAATGACGAAACTAATTCTAATAAAATTTTAGTTTTATAGTTCATCTAAATAACATTTAAAAAATAATTGTTATGAGCACAATAACTATGGTTCTGACTAAACGTAGTGTAGTGATCATATACTCTTTGGTTCTGAGGGGTCCTTTCTAAATATTACCATACTCTTTGGAGCGTTCTACAAAGTTGACCTTGGATTGCCTCATGTGTACTTCAAAGACTTGACAGATTAACATAACCTCACTCGCTTTACGTCAAATAAAATAAAGTAAACACAGGCACGACAACACAACCAAACCATGCGTTAGCAATTAAATATAGGGATGTGAAAAAATGATCGATTTTCATATTAATCGATTATTTTTTCTTTGAATCGATTTTTAAAAGTCGATTTTTTTATAATAAAATCGATTTTTAATAAATCGATTATGTAAATTACGTGTTTTAATCGATTTTTATAATCAGTGTCATCTGCGCGACAGATGAAAAAACGCGAAGTAAGTTCACTAACATGAACAAGTCATCAAAAAACGGCGCCACCTGTGTGTATCTCTATGTATGTAAAACAGTTTCGCCTTTCGTATGTTTTCAACAGTTTTCTTTCTTCGCTAAGAGTAAAAGTATTCTGTGGTAGGTAATAAATGCAGGAAGTCGATGGATGCAGGTGGCTCAGGACCGTGCTTTGTGGCACTCCTTGGGGGAGGCCTATGTTCAGCAGTAGACTTGTAAAGGGCTGTAATGATAATAATATCAAATCTCAAGGCAGATCCATCAATACATGGAGCTCTGAAGAAACTTTCCGTAAACTAACCGAATTAGCTCTTAAACACGTCTTTATGATGGCCAGTTCCGTGCCAGCTGAAAGATTATTTTCGAAAGCGGGAAATATTGTCAGGAAAAAACGTAAATCTATTTTACAAAACAGACGAAGAAGAATGTTGGTAAAATTATTGTTTTAAAACTCTTTAACTGAAAATTCATGGCAATATTTTTTTTGTTTATACAAGACATTGACAAACAAATGTCATTTTTTTCTTCTATTAATTTGTGGCTTCTTTTGATAGAATTCTGCTAATATTTAATAATTTAATTTAAATAAATTAATAGGTAAATTAATTGTGCAAATCTCGGATTAATATTTATGTAATTATTATACTTTAAAGAGCAAACCAAAAAAAGTTTAAAAGAGAATTAACATTTTTAGTTTCTTCCGAAATAATATGAATTTGTGTAACTAATTTTTAAAATTGCAATCTAAAACAACATGAAATAAAGAAACTGCGATATTATTTCTCGGTTTATTTTTACAAGCACAATGCGATTATTGACAAAATCATGATTATGTGCAGATTTTTCAGCTTTCATGCAAAGTTGCATCACCCTGACCATACAGTATAATATAGTAAGTTACTATACTCTTTGATAGGTTGGTCTTTTTTTATAACTGGCTTGACGGCTCTGGGTTCTTGCCCTTCTGACCCTGAAGTTATAATGTATAATTATCCTTCATAGTACATTGTATCACAATATGTTGATACGTCACATTGTGCAGCCCTTGGGAGATTTTGACGGCAGCTTGAGCCAGCAGACAGTTGGCGATGGTATCTCAAGGAGCCTAAGCAGACAGACGCCTTCCTTATCTTGAGAATTACATCACCATCAGAGCACTCGTTCAACAGTTTTCACTAATAGTTCACATGCGCAGATACTTAATACACAAAATCGCACCACTTTTACATATCAAAATCCACTTCAAACCATTATTTAAACAATAATACAGGAGCAGCAAACCGCCGCCGGTCAAGTTCCCGCCAAACCTCCTCTTTGGTAGGATTACTATTAGTAACCACAGAATATATATATCATAGTAACTGTACCTATATAGCATGGAGTATAGAGTACTCTACTCTATACTCCATGCTATATAGGAATTAGGGATGATCGATGATCATCGCTGTCAAATAATTAAAACATCGATGTTTTAACATCGATGTTGCCAAATGTCAAACCTCGAAACATCGATGTCAATAAAGCCATAATCGATTATTGGGTACTTGCGAACACTGCGAACCCGCTAAATCAATATCAACTAAATCTTGCATCTCCTCTAAAATATTTAAAATTTTGAATAATTCAGAATGTTTGAACGCATCGATAACCTAAAATATACCATTATGGTGTATCAAATTTAACTGTCAAGTGTCAACCAGTTGTTTTTAAAATAATGGTTGGTTGGTTGATCTTAAGCACGATCTAATGCACGTTTAGAACAGTGTTATTGGTTCTACCTATCTAAAATAAAATAAAAAAACTTGCGGTAAGATATTTGACCACAATCGCTACATCAACGCCGTCTGAGCGGTTATCTACCGACTTCAAGAAGGAGGATGTACTCAATTCGACTGTATGTTCTTTTTTTAATGTGTGTTACCTCGTAAATTTTTTCTGGGTGAACCGATTTCGATAGGTCTTTTCTTTTTTTTGGAAGCTGGAGCTTGGTCATGTGGTCCTGTATAAATTTGACCCAAATAAGTCTGACCAATAGTTTTTGAGTAATCCTTAATAATTTATATTGAAGTCAGTTGTACAAAATTTTTATTTTTAAATTATTTTTAATAGCTGGCTCAACTATTTATCAACGGAGAAACAGATTGAAAGGTACTTAAATGTTAAAATTACTATTTCTTCAATCAATCGGCAAAAATATGGGACTATAATATAACAAATGAACTAGATATTTGTGAACTTCTTCCAAATTTTTTTAATTACTGTTGTACACTACATTCTTTATTAATTTCTTTTATTTCATTAATTATTAACCATAAATAACATGACAAATTTTTATTTATCTAATTCTAACCTATTAAATACATGTGCAAAAAACATCGATAATGGCCAACATCGATGTTTTGAGTAGGATAAACATCGAACATCGATGTTGACCTATCGATGTCAACATCTATGTTTCTACTGGTTTCTACAACATCGATCATTCCTAACAGGAATTATTAAGCACATTCGGTTTATACCATAGATAATATACTATAGCTTATACAAAGGCATAGACTAACCAGTCTATGATACAATGGTATAGGTATACTCTGTGAACATCACATCGCTTTTCACTATGAAATGGGATATAATCATTCGGATAGAATCTACTAGTTAGTCTGTGATATAATCTTCTTTATATATATATATATATATATATATATATATATATATATATATATATAAGGGTTAAAAATATTTTTTCGATCGACCGAACGATATTTTCATATTATATTTCACCCCCTGTACGGCCTCTACGGCGCACAGTAATTATGTCTGTTTTCTTGTAGAACTGCAGAAATTCACTTTTTAGGGGTAGAAACCACGCGGCGATAAGACCCCTCTTTGAGGAGTGGCTTGAGAGACGCCACGGCGTCCTCACCTTCCGCCTGACGCAGGTCCTCACCGGACACGGTGTGTTCGGGAGGTTCCTGCACCGAATCGGGCGGGAGGAAACGCCCGGGTGCTCCCACTGCGAGGATCGACCGGAGGACACGGTGGAGCACACCGTGGAGGTGTGCCCTGCCTGGGCGGAGCACCGCCGTGTCCTCGTAGCGGCGATAGGCGGCGGTGACCTCTCGCGTCCGGCCCTGGTCGAAGCCATGGTCCGGAGCGAGACGGAATGGGATGCCGTCACCACCTTCTGCGAAGCAGTGATGCTAGCGAAGGAGGTGGCGGAGCGGGAGAAGGAGATAGCAGCAGCTTTTCTTCCCGGCCGCCGCGGGAGACGCCCCGGGCGTCGGGGGCTACGTCGTGGCCCCCGGCCACCGTAGGCGCGGGCCTGTGGACGGCGAGCAATGGGTAGCTCGCCGTCCGTCCGTCTAACGACGACAGGCCGTGTCGACGGCGCGTTTTGTTCCACGCGCGCCTCAAAGAGCTGTCAGCAGCGTGAAGGGGCCCGCAAGGGCCGACGC